ATTTACGTCACATTTACGTCCATATGGATGTTAAGATATGATAAAATATTCCCAAAATGATATTTTAATGGACTATATTAACCTACGTATGTGTTTTATGTTAATGTGACCGTACAACAGCGTATTTTGCATAGAGCACAGTTTTGTATATCAATATGCATATACTAGACTGCCAACACGCTTATACCCAACCTACCAACACGATTATACCAGACATCCAACACGCATGCAATTCTTATGTAAAAATGGTATTACTGTTATTAACTTGAATTGCTAATGTATCCTAACACATGAACATCTTTGACATACTAGTGCATGCTATTGTAAAAGTAAAACAAATACCATGTGTATTTCTGACGGTAGGACATAAGATGTTGTACTTGTTGTTACCATTTGTAAGAGGCGACTTAATTTGGAATCGGATCTGTCTTTTCTTTCTAAACGCGTATTTTCTTCCTAATATCTGTTTTGACACTGAATAATTTTTGGCCTTTACTGGCTCGTTCGCACCTGTGAAGGCCTACGACTCCGTCCTCCGGAAGAGATATGCCTGAAAATGGTAATGCCTTCTCCCTGCTTTACAGCAACGTGGTAGCGTTACAGATATGTCGGTTGTCAGGATAATGAGACGGGATGGCAAGGTAGGGTTATGAAGCCTCTATTGCAGCCTCTCAAGAAACACACGTACTCAATATATGTATTGGGAAGATGTCGTCGAACTGCATGAATTTGCTGAGTTCTGTAATAACATCAATGTATTACAAACTGTGTAGTAATTACTCATAGATTGATCATTACCTTTGTGAGAGAAGTACACCTGTATAATGGCAGAAAAACCTCAATAAAGATTTATGTTAACAATCATCATAATTCACACTACATTTGGTTTATATAATAAAAGAACCAAGATTTGTTCAAGAGTTAATATACTTAAAAAGGCCAATATCAAACGAAATACAGATATAAAAATTAAAAACAGGAAATTCCAAATACGGTCATCCTTAAATTTGATTTCACAATATTTATTTCGAACATATCTTTGGCATCTGGTTAAATGACTGATAACTGATGACTGACAAATGGCTAAACTGATAGTACAGACATTTGATTTCCTTCTATATTCTGTTTACAGTTGTATACAGAAGCAAAACCATGATTTAGTTACAATATTATGAATGCAGAATTAGTAAACATATCTAAATGCAATTAATACTTTGTCTTCTGTGATTTCTACAATTAATGAATAAGTATGATCGTTCATTGTGGTAAGCTGAGACTGAATTCCGTATTAGGATAAAAGTAGGTCAAACAAGATGGAAGACAAAGATCTTTTGTTGTTATAAACTTGAATAACATGAATACGAGGACTGATTGATCATTTGTGTGCCTTCTTAAGCATTTCAGCAGGCATGTCTTTTTCAGCTCTAGAATCCCCTGTCTATTTAAGGCTGTGTACACGAAGACTGGTGTTTTGGTCAGGTAGCACTCTAAAGTAAACAAGGCAAGTGACTTTTGCAAAATGGACAAACTCGCTAAATGAGCACTGATGCAATATTTGCGCAAGAAAGGTGAACACCAAAGGATATGGTAACAACACAAGGGAATTATGTCCCTTCATAGGCTATAGTGAAGGTTGGGCAGAGCCTTAGTAATGACATAAATCCTGGAAAGCTTGTCACTGTTGCAACCCCAAAAATGGTAAATGAAGTCCATGATATTGTTATGACTGACAGGTGATTTACAGAGAGATATGTAGCCAGCATAGTTGGGGTTTCACAGGAAAGAGTACATTCTATTCACACAGATGATCTTGCAAGAGGAAAGTTCTCAGCCCGTTGAGTACCAAGACTTCTGACAGTTGATCAAAAGCACCTAAATGAATCTTTCAAGAATCATATAGGCCTAGGAATCAAGATATGGACGTATAAATCAAATTGTTTCACCGATAAGTGTGAAAAAACAATTAGCATTAAAACATATTTTTTTATAATACCTACCTTGGCAATAGCCAATGCAATATATCAGCTCAATTATGACACAGTATCATGTTTGTCGGTCATCCATGATTATCGCAAAATAAGAAAAAAAAAAAAAAAAAAAAAGAATGAGCACACAAAAGATAACAAAAAAATTCAAGGACATAAAATTACGTCAGAGAGAGTCTGAACATACATATCCAAACAGCGTATCATCGTTCCCGGGTTTTTGACGCTCATAACTAGGATTTTACTGTTGATGATGAACTCAATAAACAAATGTTAAAATGATAGACAATCGGATCGCCATAACGTTAAATCTTGTCGGTCTTTTGTACAATTGTTTGAGATTGAAGGTGGTAGACCCTGTTGATGGACTTCAGACCCAGATGTTTGGTAAACCATACATGCCATGCTTGCATTCAATTGAGTGCTGTTCAGAATATACACATCAAATATCCAGTAGCACAGTTATGTGGTTGCAGAATATATCGAATATAAATTCTTCTTATACTCATTTGATGTTTGAAAAGATGAACAAAATGTTCTCCATTATGAAGTAAGCAGTAATTAAAGTTTTGAATTTTGCATAATTTACGGAGCTGAAACATTTTGTAACTGTTCGACGAAATGACATTTTTGTGATTTTTCTTTAGTTTGGCATCTTTTTAAAACATGTACAGTTCATTGCTTTTATATGCAAGAGGAATGTGACATATCTGAGCATTTCTGGTTCACGAGGATGTATGCACTTGAAGTTATTTATAAATTTGATACAATTAAATAAGTATCATATTCTATTAAATGTTCACTATAATGTAATATTCGTATTTAAAGGTTTTTTTCCGCATGTGTTTTGCTTCTCTGATACTCACACCAGAACAAGCGGGCAAAAACTAAAGAGTTGTCAAACAAATATGTTTGCATATCATTAACTATCTGCTTGCTATTGCCGGTAATACGGGAAGTACAGTCACATTCTTAAATGAAAGAATAAATAAAATAATTGGTTACAGTTTTTTGACACCAAGACTCTTCCATTTGCTATATCGTAGGTATCGTCTCTACTACGATTAGCTGTCGACGTCTTCAATAGGATTATCTTTAAAAGGAAGAAAGTAAATCAAAGACACTTTTCAGTATTGTTTAAGGTAAGCATAGGTGGGATTTTCTCTTGTTACGATGATCATCTGTGATATAGAACAATGTTATCTAGATTACTTCGTTAGAATTAATTACCTGTTCTTACTGGCTGTGATATAAGAATAACTATTGAGTTAATGAGTACATTATGTAGATCACATATACCGAGTACATTATGAAGATCACATATACCGAGTACATGATGTAGATCACATATAATGAGTACATGATGTAGATCACATATAACGAGTACATTATGTAGATTACATATACCGAGTACATTATGTAGATCACATATAAAGAGTACATTATGTAGATCACATATCACGAGTACATGATGTAGATCACATATAACGAGTACATTATGTAGATTACATATAACGAGTACATTATGTAGATCACATGTATCGAGTACATGATGTAGATCACATATACCGAGTACATGATGTTCACATATACCGAGTACATGATGTAGATCACATATACCGAGTACATGATGTAGATCACATAAACCGAGTACATGATGTTCACATATATCGAGTACATGATGTAGATCACATATACCGAGTACATGATGTAGATCACATATACCGAGTACATGATGTTCACATATACAGAGTACATGATGTTCACATATGCCGGGTACATGATGTAGATCACATATACCGAGTACATGATGTAGATCACATATAACGAGTACATGATGTTCACATATAACGAGTACATAATGTAGATCACATATACCGAGTACATGATGTAGATCACATATACAGAGTACATGATGTAGATCACATATAATGAGTACATGATGTAGATCACATATACCGAGTACATGATGTAGATCACATAAACCGAGTACATGATATAGATCACATATACCGAGTACATAATGTAGATCACATATACCGAGTACATGATGTAGATCACATATAACGAGTACATGATGTAGATCACATATACCGAGTACATGATGTAGATCACATATAATGAGTACATGATGTAGATCACATATAACGAGTACATGATGTTCACATATACCGAGTACATAATGTAGATCACATATACCGAGTACATGATGTAGATCATATATAACGAGTACATTATGTAGATCACATATAACGAGTACATTATGTAGATCACATATACCGAGTACATGATGTAGATCACATATACCGAGTACATTATGTAGATCACATATACCGAGTACATGATGTAGATCACATATACCGAGTACATGATGTAGATCATATATAACGAGTACATTATGTAGATCACATATCACGAATACATTATGTAGATCACATATACCGAGTACATGATGTAGATCACATATACCGAGTACATTATGTAGATCACATATACCGAGTACATGATGTAGATCACATATACCGAGTACATGATGTAGATCACATATAGCGAGTACATGGTGTAGATCATATATAACGTGTACATGATGTTCACATATACCGAGTACATGATGTAGATCACATATACCGAGTACATGATGTAGATCACATATAATGAGTACATGATGTAGATCACATATACCGAGTACATGATGTAGATCACATATACCGAGTACATGATGTAGATCACATATAATGAGTACATGATGTTCACATATAACGAGTACATGATGTAGATCACATATAATGAGTACATGATGTAGATCATATATACCGAGTACATATATCACATTTAACAACGATGTAATGTACAATACTCCGCCCGTTAATTCACCAGTATATTGTTTTGTTTATAAATTCCAGAATAGCTAGTGAACCATTTATTCCTGATACTGTTATCAGTAATTAACCCTCACCCTGTCTGGTCATAAGTCACTGTATTCCTTCAACTATACCAAAGTATCAGTTTACCGTGATGGATTTTGATGCTATTTTAGAAAAACTAGGAGATTTTGGTCGTTACCAAAAGTGGCTGTACTCTCTTATCTGTATTTCATCAGCGTTTGTGGGTTTATTCGCCGTAATTTCAGCAATCCTTCTTGGTACACCAGAACACAGGTAAGATTAAGTATTATTTTCTCGGCAATATTCCTAACCATTGTACATGAAATTTCAATAACAATATGTACTCGGTATATGATATGAGTACGGACTTTCTGCTTAACAGGGCTTTTTCCCATAGATATCAATACTTGATGATGTGCGAGTTTAATTTTTATCAGTACGAAATAGTACCTTATTGTTCGTTTAGTTCACATATGAAAGGGAGATGTTTATTAGATTTATATTCAGAGTTCCACGGAATGATATCATTTGCACATGAATTTGTATACAATATATGCATTCATATCTATAATAGATGCTTCTATAGGCAGTATGTCACATATCCATTATATTTGAACAGTTAAAGAGCCAGACCCACTCCGTTATAGATATTTTTTCATTAATTTTTGACAGAAATATTGTTTTATACTAATAGATAATATATCAATAAAAACTTGTATAAAGTTTCGAACTTGAAATTGAAAGGGTACTGGAGATATCGGTGCCGGAATTAGTGTCGTTAATCAATATTGATGAGGAAAAGTCACATGATACAATCAGACGCGGTCAGAACCAAAACAAAAATGGAGGAAGAGGTGAGAAGTTCGTCCATGTGACATCATTTGTAAAGAGATTTTACCGATAAATGCAATTAGTACTCTATATATCCTATATGGAAATCATCTAACGTATATATTGATCACATCTTAGATCTTAGATATGACACATAAACGTGCAGATTACGATAAAAACTACGATTAATTGTAAAGAGGCCCTCAAACGGGAGCTACGATACGGCAACGAGCATAGAGAACATCGCGAAATGGATCTATCTAAAGCGAATATTCGATGATAAGAGTATTTATGAATATGATTTTAGAGTGATACTACACGAGAGAGCCAAACAGAGAGCGATACAGAGTATGTCCCAGCCATCTTCCTTCTTTTTGCCCAAGAGTCCGTCAAAATACGTTTTCTTCCCCGCTTCCCTCGCACGCTTTCCGCCATGTTGAAAGGTGGCATGTTTATTTACAGTTCTTTGCGCATGCGTCAGAGGGCAGGACTTCCCGCATAATTATGAATTAGCACTGAGTCGTTTCAAATACTTTTTTAAACAAGTATTTGTTACGTTAGATTGGTAGCGATTTACTTTAAAATTGCGGTATTACAGGGTTAGTCAGGACTTTTGCTACCCGAGAAAAGTAGTAAATCATGAATTTTTGTTTATATAAAATGATATCGGTTGAGGAGTGGGTCTGGCTCTTTAAGCTAAAGTACATCACTAAGTGTGATATCAAGTAAACGTTATCAGAGAAATAGTAGATCTGTGCGCATATATTCAACCTAGCAAAAATATTCCTCACAAAACCAATGCAATGGAGACCGAGAAAATATTTGCTAAACTTGGAGCATTTGGAACATACCAGAGGATTTTATATTTGCTTATTTGTGTAGCCTCAGTGTTTGTCGGGCTTTTTGGGGTTATTTCTGCGATGCTCCTCTATACACCAGATCACAGGTGAGCCTAATCAGAGAGTTTCTGATTTCACAGCCTGTTGTAACGCAACACAATTACATCATAAGTTAAATAAATAAAAAGATCGATAAAATATATATGCCGTTGAGTTTTAAAGAAGCAAATGTTTACAAACTTTAATTTGGTTTTCTAATACACTACTACAACAAAAAGTAAACAAGTTAAAATATCCTACTTATTCATCTATCTATTTATCTATTCTTGGAAAAAACCCGCCTTCTATTCAAAACTAATCTAGCTGGGACATGTATGATGCTACCTAACTAAATATGACTTTTCACAACTAAGATGAGTATACATTTACCAAACACGCTAAATATATATGTATCATAGTGACAGGGGCTGTAATTGCAGAGAAAGGGAAACTGTACAATTTTTAAATGTTTTGATATTCTATGGGCCGTATATTTAGAAACACATACATTAACCTTAAGAGAAATGCTTCAACTTTTCATTGTGTGTTTGATGAATGATTGAAACTCGATCAACATATACTTAACATTGTCAATCTTCAATAACTGTCGTTATTAGATCAGCTTTAAATCAATTTGCGTATGGAAGTGTTGCGTGATTGTAGTATCTCGAGGTCGAGAATACAACTTGATGTGAGGATCCTATTTACTCAATAGTGATACTTCTTTTGACCTTTCGTTACAGATGCAAGATACCAGGCTATGATAATGACACTTATCATATACAGAATGACGACCACCTTACACTCATCAACAAGTTTATACCTCCGTCGTCGGATGAGACCTACTTATACGACCAGTGTCACTTGTTTGTCTACAACGTTACGTCAGTTACGTTCGACAACTCCAGTCACCCAATCAATGCAACAAAGATACAATGTACTGAATGGGTTTACAGTGACGATGTGTTTAAAGAAACATTTACATCAAAGGTAGCTATTTTGTTTGTCTTCGGTTTTTAATATATTTCCTTCTTATTGATAGACAATGTCAAAATGTCTGAATTAATTAAAAGGCTTGAAGGTATTTCACCGAGACTTCTTAAAAGTACAAGCAGAATAAGGCCAGATGTTCCGGAAGAGTAAGCGTGCTCTGCTTCAGCGGCAATATCGCCAGGTAAATCTTGGTCAATACAAGAAAGTAATATCACGTTCTCAAAGGCGAATAAGGTATACAACAACGGAACTAACAGGCAAACTAACGAGCATAAAACACGTCCAGGTTCGCATAAAGAAATGGAATATTTCTCAATGACACCAGTATGACGACCGTAAAAAGTTTCATTAACTTGCATCTTTTAAAACCACGTGTAATGAGTATGTCCGTCAGTTGACGACTTCTTGAATGATAATCGTGATAATGGGAACAGGCAATTGAATATGCAATCAACTGCGACATGTCAGCACCTTAGGTTGGTGATACAGGGATGTTGCTATCAATAAGTGGGAAACTAATATTAAGGAAATCAAAACCACCATACTTGGTGGAAAGTTGTCAATGTTGATTTCGTTATAAAAAAGAGTCGAGATAAGCGGCCGATTTAGAAGAGTATGTTGTGTCCTTGATTTCCAATTCTGGTGGGTGTATACTATTGATGTTGTAAATGATTGTTTTGATATTTAAAAAGCAAGATGTCATTAATATACTTGAGTGAAATTAAACGACTTTGCAAAGTGTTTGTTACCTGCTCTGATACACTTTTCGATAAATTCAGCCTCCTATGAAAACAAAAAAGTTTAGTCAACAGAGGCATGGCAATATTCTGTTGAAAAATCTCACTATCAAATTCGACGAACATGTTGTCAACCAGATACTTGATCATTTTTATGTTTTCCGTACATTTCGTCTTTGATTTTGACGTATATTCCATGAAAAAAGCTTCATTATAGATAGCAAACATATGTTTGTTCCATTGTTAATCTTTCTTGGAAAGGAAACGGTGACGAATGCTATCTACTTTGCTGATATTTATGGTAAGCATAGGACCAAGTTGAATTTGGCTACGTTAAACTGCCAATTCTCAACGAAAGTCATCAGCATTTCATGCTCTGTTGATGTTAGGCAGATCAAAGATCAAATGTAACTTTCGAAAGACGGTCCCGTTGTTCCATTCTAAACCGGACCAAGTGTATTTCCTCCTGTGTATGTATTTTACATCGCAGTTTTGATATGCCAGGTTCACTTGAAGGTATTGGTGGTAATAGGACATAGGTCATTCCATCACAAAGGTCTGTGTACAGAAATAATTGGGGACATTTTAGCTATGTTTTCTCCATTATTATTAGAAGCAGTACATAGAGGTATAGGTAGTATTATTTACAATCTAACGATGATAAGTATTTACATAACACTGTACTGGGGACCTGTGTCACTATACCGTAGTCGTGGTGAAAATAAATCAAACCTTTTATTGAAAACTTTACAGCTACGCCACCGTTAATTTATCGACTATTTGCTCCACAGTGCAGTAAGCAAATAAGCTATAAATAATCTGATAGCAGCTTTCCTATTCAGGAAAAAGTAGCTGATAAGTTTCAAGCGTGAATCACAGATTGATTCTGGAAAAATCTTTGCTATCAAAATGACGGGCCTTGTGCTGATGTCTTTGAATATTGGAATTAAATAGCGTATATTTCGGCGAGTAAGCCTTGTTTGGAAGAATCAGTAAAGCAAAGCTTCTAAACGATTGCGCTCAAAAGATCGGCTAGATCAGTCGTCTGTACTTCTAGTCCTGTTTACTTTATTCCAGATCTGGTGCATCTTTGTTGTGATAGTATAACAACGACGTCACAGAAGTTAGACTGCACAGATTAAATTAAATTAGCCCGTACAATTTCATAATTGTCATTTGGAAGCCAAATCCATGTTGGAAACTTCGAAAGTAAAGTGTAAGAATTATAATCGTTGGACGTCCATATCATACCTTACTTTATCCACATCTGTTATCCATATAGCGATACAAATGCGTGGAGGATGTTCATAGAGATCATACCCGTTATACAATTTCAAATTTATCACTTCTTCTGACTTCACGCGACAAATGTTTACACTTACCCTGGGTACCTTTTTCGGCGGAATAATACGAAGTTCCGAAAGGTCATGTGATGAACTCGGCTATCTCCGATCAAAACAGTGAACGGCGATGTCGACCAGCGTTAGAAGATGATAATCTTTATCAATTTTCCTCAAAAAGTGCTATTATTTTGTGAATAGTCTAATTAAAACTACAATATGATAATGATATTATACTATAATATATATATATTATAATTTCTCTATATCAAACGCATCATAGAAAAATCAATAAATAACGAGATCTATCCGTTAAGTCTCTATACGGACGAGTGGTGTCTCAGAAGTCAAATCATCTTTCTGAATTCAAGAAATAACTACTCACTCACAATGACGTTTCAGACCAAATCAGGTCGATAGCCACTCAGACTTTAAAGTTAAGGAGGAGTAGCGATTTAAAGGAAAAGTTTACGGACAGCGAATGGCGGACGACGGCAGGCGAATCACGATGATTATAGGTCATCTTGACCTTTCGCTTCAGATGACCTAAACATTCATGAAATACAACATTCTGAATTATTTCCCTAATTAGATTGTCTCACCAAATTCTGAGTAAGTTCTTTGTTCTCTTCTTTACAACATACCCTTCATTTGCACAATGTTACCGACCAAAGTCACGAACTTTGATGTAATATCGTGTTCTGATCCTTTTCGGTCTGGTTTCATAGCTCTGTTTATTTTTGCCGAACTTTGTCTAAATATTATGAAAGCAAGTAGTTCGGCTGGTCTTAAATTATATTCTCTCGCAGTTTATTGGAAAATCGGTTTTAGATTAACGGTGTAAGCGTATAGCTATAAAGATAATCTGTTATCAATTAGATGTTTCTAGCGGAAGTACATCACTTGAGGAAAAGAAAAGAGAGTTTTATGCTAATCTTCCTCCTGCAATTTGATGCCGATAACACAGCTGTCTATGTTGTGGGTAACTAACCCAGGTACAACATGTACGCTGACCACATAGATATCGTGACATTCTCATTTGCCATGTGTATTTTAATATTGTTGATCCAATGATTAAGTTTAAAATAATAGCTTTTACAAGAAGTATATATTTCTCGTAATTGTTATGTTGCTATGAATAAATAAATTTAGTAACGAAAAGTCAAACATTTCACATAATGTTATATGTCCTTATAAAACATGGAATCAATATGTTATTTTTTGTATAAAGCTAATATATCTGACTTTGGCTAATGTGAACATTATGGCGTCCCCCTTAAAGCTCGACTTCAGACCACTCACCTTGCTATGTCTAAAACAGTCAATGTCACGATACAAAACTAGGCGTGATGGATTAAGATCAGGTCGAATGGTTTTTAAAACAATGGCTTCAGGGACAACTTTCGTTTGTTGACATCCTATTCAGTAATTAGTTGATAACTTTACTAAGGTTTTGATATATTGATGTTCAATGATCGATCTCACATTTATCGGGGAAATAATTATACTACGAGACCAGATAATACCGGGCCAGGCCGGGCCTTACCGGACAAAGCTATACCAGGCCAGACCAAACCAGGCTCGTCTATGTTTGAGAGTATGCCGAGTTTTAATCTGAATTTAAGACCATCACTGTTTTCCCATTGCGATCATGACACGAAATGTTTTATTCATCATTCGAAAGAATGTCAGATGATCTGAATTTAGTACAATCACTCTCGCGTGATGTTGTTATCCTGGTATATACATGTATCAACATGTGAAATGCTATTTAATGAATTACGTAGTAAACACAATACGGTAGCTGCCAGAAGCCAACCGAAGTATGGTATCGCTTCACTGTAAAATTGAACATATATTTGTCAATAAAAAATTATCTTTTTAATTCTTTTCTACATATTTATATGTTTTTATTGTAGCATAATCTTGTCTGTGATGACTCCAATAAGCCACCCCTATCAAAGTCTTTATTCTTTGTGGGGATTCTGATAGGTGCGTTCACCTTTGGTAACTTATCTGACGGGTAAGTTCACTCTTTTATTTCATTTTGTCTACAAGTTTGTTGTTGGTCTACTTTTATCATTTTCTTTTTGAGAATGAAATTATCAATTTTACAAAGGCTGTGTTTATGAAGACTCGGTCGGGACATACGTCAATTCTCCCTTTACACAATTAAACTTAATGAGCTTGTAACGTTTTTACCTGGCATTCATTTCATTCTAACTGACCTTGTACAAGTAGGTTGTGCTCACCGGTGTTGTTATACCGCCGAAAAGAAATTTAGGGAATCTTGTCTGAACAACTCCCACAGTTTTCATCGAAACTATATGGAGATTCAAGACTGAAGTTGTACACCTGCGATTAATTTTGGGGGTCTATTTATTTCCATTATTCTTTCTGAAATGCTCTTCTCTTACGTTTTACACGTCCTTTTGTCCGGACCATTCTTCCTGTAGTTCAGTTTTGTATATTGAGAGCTCATTCTAACACATTATAAACAATTTACCTGAGGGGTCTCCGTTGATTGGGTAGCGGGGATTATAAGTTGGCCATCCTGGCGATAGTTCTACATTTTATCAACTTACGTTATGTCGTTAAATGGTATTTTTACTGACCTTATACGATATAGTACTACATGTTACCCAGACTAACCCTGTTATCTGTTTCAAACACGGTATTCTATGTATGTGATGTTTGCTCTAGAAGTACAAAATGCAGTTTTTAACGAATTAAAAAAAAACAGTCTTGAAATAAAGTCAGGTAACTTCTCAGTTAAAGGTTTAGAGTTGAGCGAATTGCAGGTTACGTTTTGGCTTTTTTTTTGTAAATTCATATGTTCATTTTATATTTTGAATTGAAACTATACTAAAAGACACCACAGATAAACAATAAATACGCAGACACTAATGGAATAACTCTATAAAAATACCTTTATGTAGCTAGTATTGTACAGTGAGGACGTAAGATATTACCACATGATGTACTGACATATCTCACCAGAATCGGACGGAAAAAAACATTCTACATCGGAGTCATTCTTATGTTGGCCTCAACTTTGGCTTTAGCGTTCAGTCCAAACTATATTGCGTTCGCCATATTCATGACCGCTATAGGGGCGACAACTCAGGGAGTCTTCTTAGTCGGATTTGTGATCGGTACGTATAATAGTCTATATTCCTTCAAGACAGCTGTAAATAATATCAGGTATTATCTTCATTTTTCGAATCCGAAAACAACCAGTGCCTTTTGTTATAGTTATAATACAGGTATTGTGTTGTGTTATTTGTCAGGAAACTAAATTTTCCAATTCAATTTGATTTTAATTTTGTTTTCACTTTTAAACACGGAAGCACTTGAGCGTCTTAATGTTTTCAAACGTATACGAATGTTGTACTAGTATCAATAATGTAGAAAACCATACGTAACATAATACTGTCAATTGTCATATTACAGGAATGGAACTTGTAGGACCCACAAAGCGAACGTTTGCCGGAATCGTCAGCGAGTACTTCTTTGCGTTGGGTCTAATAATCCTGTCTGGAATAGCTTACTTAATTCGTCACTGGAAATATATAGAGATAGCATGTGCTGCTCCATTCAGTATTATCCTGACCTATTGGTGGTGAGACATCTGTTGTTTTTTTTTAAAAATTGGAATATTGAAGTCACTATATACATATAATGAATTATTGGAAAGAAATTAAGCATTATATAATTCGATAGAAATGTTGGTTAGTCATTCAGCACATTCCTTCCTCTGGCGGGGTAACTCATCGGCGGAAAACACATGTGGAGACTGGGAACACAATGACGAATACACTATGTACATGAGAGAAATTAGATGGGTATCATAACATAATGGCGGATAATCATTGTCGACAAAATACATTAGACGGGTCCACATGTGGTATCTGTGAACACAATAATGGATATTCTATGTTAACAGAATACAATATACTGGTACCACAACACAATGACGGACGATCTAAGTTGACAAGATATTAGACTGGTTCCACATGTGGTGACTGGGAACATAACAACGGATACTCTATGCTTGCAAGAGGTATTAGACGGGTACAGGTATCAAATGTGGTGACAAGCTACACTAGGACGAATGCTAATAGAAAGCAATAGGCGGGTAACACATATGGTGACGTGAAATACAATGAATGATACTCTATATTTACAAAAGACATTAGACGATACCACATGTGATAAATAAGAATGCAATGGTGAATATCCTATGTGGCATAAACGTGATATTATAACGGGTACCACATGTAGTAACATAACGTTGGATGACCTGTACCATCTTGTGCATTCCGAGAAGTGATGTTGCGTGTAATGAATACATTTCATGACTGTTTTTTCCTCTTCTTTGTTCCCTATGTTACAATATTTCGCAAAGTTTGTTCTTTTTTTTACAATCTTCTATAATCGAAGGCTATTGCCGGAGTCGCCAAGATGGCTTATTACCAAACATAGATATGAAGAAGCCAAGGTCGTCCTACAGAAGGTAGCCAAGGTGAACAAGGTCGTGTTAAATGATAATCTGTTACAAGTATCGGACAAGGAAACTGACGACGGTAAACAAAATGACGGGAGAGTCTGGCAGCTCTTTACCTCACGGGTGTTATGCTTAAGAACTTTGGTGATTTTTGTAAATTGGTAGGTTCATACTTAAAACACTAACTTTATTACTGAAATTTTAATTATACCAAGAGGTATTAATAATACTGTTGAGAACAGTCACGAGATTCTATCACGTGCTAGGGAATGCTTCATATTTAACTGACGTTGTCAGTATATCATACACTAACAATCTGACGGCCGTAATAACAGGTGAACAATTTAAAGCAAATACCTTGATGCTGTTATCTTTCCAGCGTCGCACAGTGGTGACTTTACAGAATGTATTTTCAATTTCTACTGGAGTAAGGTGACAGCGATGCAAAAAGGGGTTTAACTTTCTCCATAGTTACAGGATAGACAGGAATGGAATAATTATATTTTCTTTTTGTATATGATAGAAATACTATAATATTTCCCTAGTCCAAAGTTCATGATTATTCAATAATTTAACGAAATTATATTTTCTTTGTCTTTAGGTGCATGGTGACAATGGCCTATTATGGTCTGTCCCTTAACTCCGGTAACCTTGGGGGTAACTACTTCTTGAACTTCTTCCTGTCTGGTCTGGTGGAGTTCCCGGCCTACACTCTTGTCATGCTCTTGGTGGACAGGGTTGGGCGGAAGTGGCTTCATTGCATCAGTATGATCATGGGCGGGTTGTTCTGCCTCTCCACAATATTCCCTATTCTGTATTTAGACAAAAGTAAGTAAAATGTATGTAAATGTTGTCGCTTACCTTGTCCATAACATTGTAGTATTGTAGCGCTTTCAATATCTTTACATATATTTTCTTAACAATTGCGGAAGAAGCTATCAACTTATATCCATTACTTTTTTTTGCACGGCAGGTGACCCCGTTCGGGGAATCGAACCCTGGGTGTCTAATTGAAAGGCGACTGCAAATTAATAACGTTCTTATCGATATCTTCACTTAAATATCCCTACATCAGTTTTTATTAATTGAACATTCATTCAATTAAAGCACTTTTAAAAAATCAATCGTTCGTTGATAACACATTTATATTTCTATATTAGATTAATATTGAAATAATCTTGACATTAAGATCATTCAAGAATAAATAAATAAACACCGCCAACATTACATTGTTTACAGAATATCAGCCCCTGACCACAACTCTAGCCATGTTGGGGAAACTAGGGGCTGCGGCAGCGTTTGCCATCATATATATGTACTCCGCTGAGCTATTCCCAACTGTAGTGCGTAACGCAGGGATGGGAGCGAGCTCTTGTGTTGCCAGATTAGGGGCCATTGCAGCGCCATTCATTGCTGATTCGGTAAGCCAGTTCACTGAAGCCATTTAGAGGAAATTTGTGAAGTTTTGTAAGACGGAAGAAACGCTCAAGTTTGGGTTAAACAATATTGATTAATTCGATTTAACATGAACGTCGAACAATACAATACAGAGAGAATTTAGAAGAAGTATTTACATATCTATATTAATAGACAATGAACTAGGACACAAAAATAGCTGTCATAGGGAGCCATGGACATACATTATGCTGTATGAAAACGGCCCAATACGACAACCGGCATGTAGGCAACATGTCTTCATTAATGTACATATATAAGATTAAAAAAATTGGACGCATTTTGACAATGATAGGTGAGTAATGTGAGGTGTGAAAAAAAGATATGTAGGGGATGGAGGTAGGAGTAGAGAAAGAGTATTTTCGGTAGGATAGGGGTAGGGAAGGGTATAAGTGGTAGGATGGAGGGGGAGGGGTTTGGTTGGGAAGAGTATTACTGGTAGGATGGAGGGGTAAGGGGAAGATTATTACTGGTAGGATGGAGGGGTAAGGGGGTTGGTAGGGGAAGATTATTAGTGGTAGGATGGAAGGGGGTCGATAGGAGAAAAGTATTAGTTGTAGGATTGAGGGGGTTGATGAAGAAGAGTATGAGTAGTTGGATGGAGGGGGTTGATAGGGGAGGAGTTTTAGTGGGAGGATTAAGGGGGTTGATGGGGAAGAGTATGAGTTGATGGATTGAGGTGGTTGATAGGGGGAAAGTATTATTGGCAGGATGGCGAATACTTAAAGAGTAGACACGGTATAACAAAGTACAAGTATTATGTAACATAGCCAAACATTTCTTCCTTCTTTTGGAACGAGTCAAGGCGGGATCAAGGCAGAAAACATTTCTTTATTCAAATCACACTACATTCTGTTTCATCACGTTCCATAGCCATCCTTCTCCGTGATCACTCATGTTTGTTACACGAACCATCTCGCCACCGTAAACCTGATTCAACAAGTTATGTTTCAAGGTTTCGATACTCTAATAGTTACAATCACTTTCTCTCTGCACCTGGAACATGGCAAATAGAAGGTTCCACGTGCGACACCTTGTAGACAACACGAAAAGTCTAGTTTGATACTTTAATGTACATCAAACGAATTTCGGGAATGCATAACGGTATATTGTTATACCTTTGAGGTCAGGTGTCATTCCTTTTTTATCTTTAAAAGGATCGTATGAGCCCGCGGTAGGATGAAAGGGGTAGGGGTTGATAGGGGAAAAGCATTAGTTGCAGGATTGGGGGTGTTAATAGGGAGAGAGTTTATTGGTAGGATAGTGATAACTTAAAAGAATAGACACGGTATAACAAAGTACAAGTATTATGTAACATAGCCAAACATTTCTTCCTTCTTTTGGAACGAGTCAAGGCGGGATCAAGGCAGAAAACATTTCTTTATTCAAATCACACTACATTCTGTTTCATCACGTTCCGTAGCCATCCTTCTCCGTGATCACTCATGTTTGTTACACGAACCATCTCGCCACCGTAAACCTGATTCAACAAGTTATGTTTCAAGGTTTCGATACTTAATAGTTACAATCACTTTCTCTCTGCACCTGGAACATGGCAAATAAAGGTTCCACGTGCGACACCTTGTAGACAACACGAAAAGTCTAGTTTGATACTTTAATGTACATCAAACGAATTTCGGGAATGCATAACGGTATATTGTTATACCTTTGAGGTCAGGTGTCATTCCTTTTTTATCTTTAAAAGGATCGTATGAGCCCGCGGTAGGATGAAAGGGGTAGGGGTTGATAGGGGAAAAGCATTAGTTGCAGGATTTAGGGTGTTAATAGGGAGAGAGTTTATTGGTAGGATAGTGATAACTTAAAAGAATAGACACGGTATAACAAAGTACAAGTATTATGTAACATAGCCAAACATTTCTTCTTTCTTTTGGAACGAGTCAAGGCGGGATAAAGGCAGAAAACATTTCTTTATTCAAATCACACTACATTCTATTTCATCACGTTCCATAGCCATCCTTTTCCGTGATCACTCATGTTTGTTACGCGAACCATCTCGCCACCATAAACCTGATCCAACCAGTTCTGTGTCAAGATGTTATCGAGGTTAAAAAATTAACATATTCCGATACAATGATAAAGGGTTTACAAACAAAAGATTATATTGGATCAAAACGGTGTGTTTCACTGTCATAAAATACTGGTATTTTCTGTTTCGTGCTGAATCACCATATAGCATCCTCAATACTCCTAGGGTTACAATCACTACATCCTCAATACTCCTAGGGTTACAATCACTACATCCTCAATACTCCTAGGGTTACAATCACTACATCCTCAATACTCCTAGGGTTACAATCACTACATCCTCAATACTCCTAGGGTTACAATCACTGCATCCTCAATACTCCTAGGGTTACAATCACTACATCCTCAATACTCCAGGGGATACAATCACTACATCATCGATACTCCGTGGGTTACAATCACTACATCCTCGATACTCCAGGGGTTACAATCACTACATCCTCTATACTCCAGGGGTTACAATCACTACATCCTCAATACTCCAGGGGTTACAATCACTACATCCTCAATACTCCTAGGGTTACAATCACTGCATCCTCAATACTCCTAGGGTTACAATCACTACATCCTCAATACTCCTAGGGTTACAATCACTACATCCTCAATACTCCTAGGGTTACAATCACTGCATCCTCTATACTCCAGGGGTTACAATCACTACATCCTCAATACTCCAGGGGTTACAATCACTACATCCTTTATACTCCAGGGGTTACGATCACAACATCCTCGATACTCCAGGGGTTACGATCACTACATCCTCGATACTCCAGGGGATACAATCACTACATCATCGATACTCCGTGGGTTACAATCACTACATCCTCGATACTCCAGGGGTTAAAATCACTACATTATCGATACTCCAGGGGCTACGATCACTACATCCTCGATACTCCAGGGGTTACAATCATCACTACATCATCGATACTCTAATGGTTACAATCACTTTCTCTCTGCACTTGGAACATGCCAGTGGCAAAATAGAAGGTTCCACTTGCGACACCTTGTAGACAACACGAAAAGACTAGTTTGATACTTTAATGTACATCAAACGAATTTCGGGAATGTATAACGGTATATTGTTATAGCTTTGAAGTTAGGTGTCTCTCTTTTGTAATCTTCAAAAGGATCGAATGAGCCCGCGGTATGATGAAGGGGAAAGAGGGTTGATAGGGGAAATGTATTAGTGGTAGCATGGAGGGGAAGGGGGTTGATAACGGAAAGGTATTAGTGGTAGGATGAAGGGGAGGGGAAGGGGGTTGATAGGGGAAGAGTATTAGTGGTAGGTTGGAGGGAAGGGGAGGGGGTTGATGAGGGAAGAGAATTAGTGGATAGGATGGAGGGGGTTGATTGAATAATAGTATGAGTGGTTGGATGGAGGGGGTTGATAGGGGAAAAGTATTATTGATAGGATAGCGATAACTTAAAGAGTAGACCCGGTATAACAAAGTACAAGTATTATGTAACATAGCCAAACATTTCTTCTTTCTTTTGGAACAAGTCAAGGCGGGATCAAAGTAGAAAACATTTCTTTATTCAAATCACACTACATTCTATTTCATCACGTTCCATAGCCATCCTTCTTCGTGATCAATCATGTTTGTTGCACGAACCATCTCGCCACCATAAACCTGATTCAACCAGTTCTGTGGCAAGGTTTTATCGAGGTTAAAATTATAACATACTCCGAAACCATGATAAAGGGTTTACAAACAAAAGATTATATTGGATCAAAACGTTGTGTTTCACTGTCATAAAATACTGGTATTTTCTGTTTCGTGCTGAATCACCATATAGCATCATCGATACTCCAGGGGTTACAATTACTGTATCCTCGATACTCCAGGGGTTACAATCACTACATCCTCTATACTCCAGGGGTTACAATCACTACATCCTCTATACTCCAGGGGTTACAATCACTACATCATAGATACTCCAGGGGTTACAATCACTGCATCATCGATACTCCAGGGGTTACAATCACTACATCATCGATACTCCAGGGGTTACGATCACTACATCATCGATACTCCAGGGGTAACAATCACTACATCCTCGATACTCCAGGGGTTACGATCACTACATCCTCGATACTCCAGGGTTTACAATCATTTTCGCTCTCTGCACCTGGAAGATGTTATGGCAAAATAGAAGGTTCCATGTTCGACACCTTGTAGACAACACGAAAAGACTAGTTTGATACTTTAATGTACATCAAACGAATTTCGGGAATGCATAACGGTATATTGTTATAGCTTTGAAGTTAGGTATCTCTAGTTTGTAATCTTTAAAAGGATCGTATCAGCCCGTGATTGGTGTTTATTTTCTCCTGAAACCAATCCAGTTATTGCGGATGTGCCTTCAATAATGACCAGGGGTGTAGAGAGCGGAAGTGATCGTAACCCCTGAGATATCGAGGATGCCATATATAAGATCTAAAGATTTGGATGGGAAGAATCTATACGTACAATTAAATTATGCAATCAATAGCCTATGATATTTTGTCGTTTGACGTTTCCTAATACGCCTGTCCAGCTCTTCTCACCGATACTCAATGGGAGACATGTCAGGGCTATATGGGGGCCAAACATTGTATGCCATGAGAAAAAAGTCACGACAGACTCTAGCAACATGCGGTCAAGCATTGTCTTGCTGGAAAACTAGGTTATGACGTTTGAGAAGTGGAAGGACATGTGATTGGAGATCTGGTCTCTGTATCGAACAGCATTGCGGTTTGGATCCGGGACCACTAAGGTTGTTTTACTCTATGGGCGATGCCTTCCAAAACCATTACAGAAGCCCCGTCGAATCTATCACGTTCAACGATGCATGTGTCGGCGAAACGCTTACCTCGTCCAATGCGCAATTTTTTTATACTAGCAAATAAATTAGCAATATACTGAAAGTGACGTGTATTGTGACAGTTCGTGTTTATGATAGTTCATTATGTGTTAATACTATCAGTGAAAGGAACCGTTTCATGGACAATAGCAAAAAAGTGTAATTTCGCAATACTGCAAACACTATACAGAAGGTGGTTATTTGTGTTCCATGCAAGTGAGATAGTAGGAAACTAGAAACTTGGCACAATCTGTCTGTCCTGTATACTTTCAGGGAGATAAAATCGGGGGCAAAATGGGGAAGGCCTTCCCATTAGTCGTGTTTGGAGTAGCGACTATTGTGGCGGGAGTTCTTGCTTTACATTTACCGGAAACCCTGAATCAAGATCTGCCGGAAACCCTTGAAGACGGAATTTTATTTGGAACGTAAGCAAACTTTATGCATTTCCTACATTTCTATCAAAGGTAAATGTAAGCCACATTAGCTCCATAAATACATTTAGTATTTCAGTTGCTATATAGATATTTGTAGTTTAACAATAAGTAAACGCACCCTTGCCACAACAGAGTGTACTATTTATTTCCTTTAATACTGAATTCTGCTAGATTGTGGAACAGAATTTGTAATTACATATGGTTTGTATTTATCCAGGTCTGCTTACAAAAGCAAGAAAAAGGATGAAACTACCCTGGCCACCATCAATACAGCGTATGTCCATGATGATGAAAATGTTACGTCGAACGCTGATGGTGACATGGTCTCTAAACTATAGGCTACATCATGCTGATAATACTATAATTAGTATTTAAATGCTATTTATGTCTTAGGTCTGCCAGCAGTCTTTAATAAAACCGATTATGTAAAAATTCCCAATATCAAAGTTTTCTCTTGTGAATACACTTTAATCAAGGTTTTGGACATTAGTATGTTAAACTAAGATAAATACTGTTTATCTGTTACTGTGACTTGGGTTTTGTTCCATCCATGGATGGAGAATAAGATTTTGGGCACAGAGGAAGACATTTCTTAACGGTGTGAAATAATACAATTTAATTTTAATACAAATTAATGCAATGTCTATACATCATATACAACGACTAGATAAGCTATATAAGCTCAATATTGATTGTCAATGTACGATAAAACATTTTTAATGGATATGAACCTTGGTTTAGCCAAGTAATTATATTGTTATATTAAAATGTTCAGTTTTACCTTGACCTGTTGTGTTGTTGGTGTTGTACATATCCTTAGCTTGAGGTGGTTTAAAAGGACGATGTACTGTAACGATATGTAGTTTATATACTGCATCACCTGCATGTAAAAAGTAACAATGTTTGTCTAAAATCTAAAGGTTACAAAATGTGACGACAGTATAAATAAACAAGGGTGTTTCCTGGAAAAAAATCACTTCCTTTAGAGTGAGATAAGGGTATTAAAACCCGATGGGGGATGATTATTATGGTTACAAACATGAGGTATGGCATTTTTTTTTTCTTACCTTTTTTCATTGGTCTGAGTGCAAGACGAAGTCAACAAAAAGACTAGGATGGCGTATGAACTGTTGACGAGGACCGCGCTTCTCACAAAATATAATTCTAGTGTATATGCCAATAAAATGTCAAATAAAATTATACTTTTGATATTTATTCTATATTTCAAATAATAAGTTCTGCGTTAAGATGAGCTTCAATCATGATGATACAAATGTAACACAATATTTTCAGTTTTGAGAATAGCACATGACTTCACTTGCAGACGAACTAGCGCATGTGTGTGGCAACATAAATGTAGTTTCACTTCCGGATCACATCACAAGGAAATCTCACACTGGAAATTTACCTGTGCAGGGTAAGATAAGTGCTTGTCTAGTTCTAGGGTTGAGACGTACACTGGCTTTTTCCCAAAGCGGATTTTCACTCTACTTGTCCACGAGTTCTAAATTAAACTTTCTAGATTTCAGAACTTGGTCATTGGTAGTAAAAACCCTGACTTTGAAACCTGACATTAATCTTACAAATCCTGGTATATTGTTATCAGCCAAGTTCGCTGTATATTGAAAAGTTGTTACTCCCTCCCATGTTACAACATTTAGATCACCTGCAGGGGAACAACGAAGAGAACCCAACAAACTCATGAACAATGGGAAGATTCACATGGATAATATGACCAGGTGTTCCAGAAAGATAAGCGCCATCTGCTTCATCTCAATCAGATCATTATGATGAATGTGATACATTGTTTTCATCAACCTTCATCTCTCGATACCCTATATTGTGAGTTTACTGATTGCCGGCATCTTGTTCGAAAATCGTGATAATGAGACATGCCTTTGAATATCCAATCAAGTGCGACATGTAAAAAAAGGTTAGGTTTACTATTCACTCAAACAAATGTCTTCTTGGCCTGATGCCTCCACGACAAGCAGCAAACCTTCACCAAGACTGAAAAATTAATCCATATTCATCAAACATCAAAGCTATCCCCTTTTCAAAGTTTATAAATCAATATCGAAAGCATTCCATAACTACTAGATTAATTTATATGTATATTATATACATTACATGTATATAAGGATTTTACAACAGCAGTACAATCAATTAGAATACATGTACCCGGATTCCTTACTGAATCTTTGGAACTAGATAACAATTACGTTAGAAAGACAAAATTATTTTATATTTAAATATTATGTGAATTCATCAAACTTCATTTGGCTACATAAGCATATGTTTATTTTTCATAGATTACTTATTACTTTGTTAGGTACGTGTAGGATAACTATATGATGAGAGACGGAACTGATTTGGTCATTAGGATCCAATAGGTGGAGATAACGTTATTTCTGATAGATGGGAAACATTTCGATCACATGTAGCGTAATTTACAATTTTTGTTGATCTGCTTAATAATGGATATACTCTTTTTGATAATTGTTGTAAATTCGAATGTACCGTCTGTATCAATACATTTTTTATTTATCATTCGGCTGTTATGTATGAAGTATTTTTAATATCTTCATATGCAATATGCATCTTTTACTCCTCCAACCAAAGATGATATCACCAAAATTTGTATCCTTGTTATCAGTAGAGACAGGGAGATTTTCAAATTTGTCTTCAATACAATCTACTGTTTTGGCTGTACTTTGTGAAATTCTAGGTATAAGTGAAACATTGCCAAAAGTCCTTCTAACAAGAGTAGATTTTGTTGGAAAAGAGGTTTTCTGTAGATCTAAAATATCATTATATGCAGTTTTGGAAGGGAAAAAGAATTTCAACGTCCAATGTTATCGACTTTGAAAAGTGCTGCTAGTACACTATATAAACCAGAAGTATATTTATCGACGGCGAAGAAGGATAATTTTCAGCAAGCGACACCAAATATAAATGGAAATAAATAGCTATGTAGCTTTTTATGTTCATAAAATCTTTAAAGGTCATTTGTTAGAAAAAAGACTAGTCACAATTGTTTTAAAAAGCTACAAAGTGCTTTGAGACGGCTCCCATCCGATGGATATTACGACCTCATTAATTCATGGCGACCAAAATAAGAATAATGAATGTAAAAACCATGTTAAACATCTTTAAAGTGGCCGACTGTGTGTTCGACATTATGATTAATTTAAGTTTTTAGAATGCGCTCAGACTTTTCCTAATTAAACAATGCGTCAGGAGTCAAACGAATTGGAGTGTCTGCTAACTGTTGCTTACATTTGAAAATGCACATAACAATGGCATTTATAAAATAGTAGGTGATTAGTAGTTTTTCTACAGTCTGACTCTTATATAATTATTATTATTCATATAAAAATCATGATAACTATGGTTGTTGTCTCTTTTTTCATCAAAAAGATTATGAAAGCTTTCCCCCATTGTGACGTTATTATAACTAGACCTGTCGTTTTCTTCCCCTTAGATTTGACTATGAAACCTGCTACATAACTATTCAAGTATTTCCTACTCGCCCTTCAGGAATACCTACCGTTTTCTTTTTATCGTATCTACCGTTTACAACGCCGTCGCCGTGATATTTAACAATTAAGTAGACAGAATATTCACTAAAGCAGTTATGTCAGTTTGAAACAAGTGGTCTGACGTTTCTACATGTTAACAGGTGTTCAAAGTACAAGGTACAACAACTCCGACGCATGTTAATTATATAAAGGAAACATACTTTTATCGTAAACATTTGGAAAACAGATTTTAATGGTAAAGCAAGATAGACGCTGTTATTTAGTATTATAAAATTACAGAAAATACATTAGACAAACCAGGTGATAGTTCTAAGATGATCTAAACACGTGCAAACATGTTAATTAAGGTATGCAGATTATTGTAAAAGTTTAAGATCAAATAAACATGTCTTTCAAAAATGGCAACTAATGAGACTATTAGCATATACCTGCTGGAACTAATTATAGCCTCTGTTGACTGACTTGCTTTTGTATTCATACCACGCTAAACTAATCCAAGAGCTTATCAAGACAGAAAGTGACAAATTCTTAACAAAGCCAATTTCACTTTTAAATACCTTTTTGATGACGTCCACCAATAGCAATACACCTATGACATATTTGCAACATCCATTAGTATACCCATCAGTATTGGAACATGAAAGACTCTTCTACATTGGTCGTTTTCTCCATTTTGTCCTACATGGAAACCAACATCTATATAATCATCCATTTCAACATTTTCGCATCCACAACCAATGGTGCTGGCATGGAACAGTATATTCGATATCCAAAGGACTGTCCCAATATCACTATTTTCGTGCTAGACATCGTCAACTGGCGAGCCAAATCATCACGTATGTTTTCAAAACAAGCAGGTTGATGAAAAAGTGTTATGGCTTACAGAGGGATCTCATTGAGAAATATCCTCTTTCAATGTGCGAAATACAGATGGACATTGTTGTATAACATATTCTCATCTGGGAATGTGACATTACTTAGTATGATTGACTAAGTTATACACAGCGGTGTCATCAATCAAGCAGAAGACGCTTATCCTTCCGGAGCACCTGGGCTTTTCTCCTTGTACTTTTTCATGAGTCGTCGTGCAAGTCTTTCTTTTGTTCATATCTTGCTCTGGTTTTATTGAATATGAATTTGGATTATGATTCTGGTGGCATTTACTTGTTGCGTTAGACTCTTCTATAATTTTGTCTAGTTTTACATAGAACTAGAACTCTGTTATATTACATGTCATGCTGATATTTTGCATAAAGTATTAATAGAAGTTTTCCTTTACTCCAGGCCTTTAAGCATGTTCTAGTTTTGAATATATAGTGTCACAACACCGTTGGAGATTATGTACAGGCGAGTCCGAGATAACTGAATATTTAGAGCGTATGCAACATTGAAAACAAGTACAAACGTGTGTTTAAATAAACAGTCCTTAATGTGTGAATGCAGTAGGCATATTTTTTGTCCTGCCCCGGGAACCGACCTCGGGAAGGGAGTGAGTTACTATAGCTTCGAATGTCTTTTCCTTTTTTTTCTGCTCACTTCCGTGCCGGGGTCTAAGTCCTTCAATACTTATCACTAAATTTTGACCTTGGACCAACAACTTTTCCCCTATTATCTTCTACACTTGTCACTGGTACTTCAGATGGTTTAAAGTGGTGTGTCGTAGATCAAAAGTAGGTCAATCTTACTTAAATTGGAACAGTTTGACCTAATTTGACCTACTTGTCTGGATTCTATCTCCTACACTTCTTGTCACTAGAACTTCATATTGGTGATATCGTGTCATTGAGGGACTGTGCTTCGCCGAATTATTTTGTTTATCAATTTTTACGATTCAACGACACCCAGGTAATAATATCGTATCATTGATAATGGTCATTAGATGTCTTGTCGTGATCAATGCATTGAAAAATTATTGTCATGTCCAATTTTTTACTTTTTATTTCCAACTTCTCGTTACTTGTAACGCAGTGTTGGTTTAGATTCTATAATATTTCTGTCTAGTTTAACACAAAAATTACATGTCTTGCGAAAAAAGAATACCAAATACCGATCATTTTTTTTTGCGATTCGACGACACTTCGTAACAGAATCTTATGATAGATCATGGTCATTGGAAGTCTTATCCTAACAAATGCTTTGAAAAATTGTTGTCGTGTACAGTATTCTTACATTTACTTCCTACCACACTGTGCATGTAACCCAATTTACAGGTGACTGTTGATTATTCATTTTTATCCGTTCTAGTGACATCGACATTGCAACAGAGTCGATTTGTGAATCTCAAACAAATTAGAGGCTTATGAAAAATATTGCTTTCACAACACGAAACAATTTGCATTGAACAACATTATTTTAATTCAACCAATGTGTCTTGTCAAGGATTTAGTTCAATAAAAGTAAAATGTATACATGTGATATATACCTTCTAAGCCAGATATGTTTTGGTTTTTATTTAAGTCTCTAATTCAAAGTATCAAATTCGGGATCATGTAAAGATGAAGTCATATACCGTTTACACGTTTCATTAAAGGATAAAATATGCACAGACATAACTCTTACTTGCATATGACGCAGTTGTAATATTTTACAGATACCATATCCGTAGACCGAACATTTATGTCTCTTAAATGATAATTTAATGTCCATATTCACATTTATTATGCTGTTATTGATATTTACATGTTTTATTGACTATGCTCATTTTAGAGACAGAACGGATGAGATTATAAAAGTGGAAGAAAAGCAAACACCATGAACTAAACAAGTATTCCCACAACGTGACCAGCAACGTGGGTTCATTTAAAAACATAAAAAAGTTTATTTACATCACTAACTTTTTCAAACCGTACAACTTGCTATTTTTAATCCATTCTAGTGTCTTTCTCTCTCTTCTCTTTGACTTAAAAATTCAATGGCACCGCAATTAAAAGTGATACTAATAGCACTTAGACTGGCTTAAAGCAGCGTTTGTCATAAACATTTTAGAGACAGAAATTTTTGGTTCTACCATATCAGTATTTACGAAAGCCTAGAAAGCCCAAATTTTGAAGGGAAAGTTATATAACCGCGTCATATTCATTAAGGATTTAAAAAAAAAAGACCGGATGTCATATTTCGTTTTTATTAACGAGAAATGATTATGTATATGTAAACGTGATTGACAAATAAAAGTGATAAAAGAATAAATACTTTTTAGATAGGACATTTACTTCTATTACTTGTTTCAAAGTAGTTTAACTGTGAAATAAGTGGTAATATTGAATGTAATAATTGGAATTCAGTCTGATTTCTTAAAATTGAGATTGATGTTAATACGTTTATCAGAAAGTTTTGGAACAAACTACAATTAGGTCATGCTAGCTTGTTAAATATTAGCGACAGCTATATCAGTTGTCCAATGTCAAGTCTGGTCTTATCTAAAGTGTCGCATTAAGCATTCAGATAATGAGGGTCCAAAGATACTTAAAATTATGGAACCCATGGTGATATAGTTGATAACGACCATGAGATTGCTGGACATAGAACTACCTGGGACTTATTGATATTGACTCTTACTACCCTCATACGATCTACAAACACTTCCGGTGAAATACAGCCGTAGTGATAGTTAAAGTTTCAGAAGACTCTCACCTTAAGAGGAAATCGGTTAATCTATCTGTCCAGTGTAAACCTAAAATTAGCTAGCTCTGATTTGTGTTTGAACTGCTATGGTGGTGACCATACATACGCTTAGAGATAATTTGAATTCTTTAAGATCAAGCACAAAAGAAGCACACAGACAAAGAGCATTTCGACACTGGCCTACCCGATCGAGAACGTAAGGACGAAACTTCTTCTCCGGAATAAAAATGGAGGACACGCACCAAGCAGGTAAATGGAAATTATTTTAATGTTTGTGGTCAATAATTAGAAAATAAGTACATGAATGGATTTGTAGTTATGTAAGTCATGTGTGATATACAAAGCTTTCTCCTTCCTCTTATTCCTAGTTAAATGCCCCCGATTCTCGTCTACCGAAGCCGTATCATTCATAAGACGATCTCAAACATGAAGATTACTTTATGCATAGATAAGACAATATCATTTTACCTAATTTTTTCACTAACCCCAATGACATTATCAAAGGTACTCATATTGCCTACTTACGTAAAAAAATCGTGTTTTGTGTTGAAACTATCGTACGGCTGTTAAAGTCGTAGTTTAACAGCTGATAAAAAAATACCAGCTTCACAAACATCAATTAATGTATTTGTTTGTGACCGGAAGTGCTGAAAATATATTAATTACATGACCTACATACCCTGTATCAAGAAATGATTCCTCCTTCTGATTCAGAAATTCATTTCAACAAATGCTCAGAATAGAATGTTTACAACAGCATTATCTTCAGCGCATGCACACTAAGTGCCTCCTGAGCTATGGTGTCGATGGGAATTCCTGATATATTTTAGACTAAAGAATAACAATTCTCACTAACTAAGATGTACACGGAAAAGAAGTCTGTAAATAGAACGTTTGTATACTTCAAAACCATCATTTTAGAAATTAGAATTGTCTACGAATCAAATTATATCGTGATGCTCCCTCAATACGTATAGTTAATTCCGAATGTAAAGTTTGACCACCTAGATTCTTCGGAAAGCCCGTCTATTTATAGCGCTAATAATATGTGTACATGTTAATAATCAATTGCGAACGAGGCAGTTACGTTTGCCTACGCCTGCGGAAATAATTTGCATTGATATCAGTGGTAAAGCCTATTAAAATACGCTTCTTGTAAAATATTATTTGCAAATAATGTTTCACAGTATTAAGAGCAGACCAAAATGTATTCACTATAGTTTAAACGTTGTTATTTCAACGTAACATTACATTACATGCTTACTTGTCAACTTCAATTCACACGCACATATGATGTTTCCTCTTTGTTTCGGTGCATATAGTTCTTCACTATTTGAAATAAATCCATCTGTCATACGGACTCCTTATCCTTATTTTCGGACGGATTATCATATCATCACTGGAATACTCTCTGCTTTGTGACTCATGCAGTGACTGATTTTCATCGCCAGCCTCATGCGAGATGCCATATTGTTTGCAACGCATGAGCAGTCAGTTCCATATGAGCTATGATGTGGCTGTATAGTTCGTAATCTAAGTAGTAAGGATTCTTATGCAATTGATTTCTCTATAAATTTTGACTTTGAGCAAAAAATGAATTTAACTGCACCACACAGATGTTTCGTTCTTCCAGGACTCGTCAGTGATGCTACGGGCGCCATTATGAAACTTAGGAGGCGACTGAGGTAAATAAATATTGGTCGAAAGAAAAGTCAAAATCACGATGGGGAGATGCACTGACCCCAATGTTTTGTAAATGTGGAACATTTCATCAAATTCATATGTATTTAATGAACCGTGCAACTATTCGAATTAATTAACGCAAGGTATGCATGATACGACAAACGAAGAATACACAAATGTAAATGTAAAATTCGACTTTGATTTAGTCCAGTCTACTCATGAATTACACCGCATCATACAACTGTTTCATCCTTTTAGGGCCCATCAGTGATCCTTAGGACTAACTTTAGAAACCAGGGAAGCACCTAAAGAAACCGAAATGATCGATAAAAATGTAAAAATCTAAATGGGGGAAGTTCACTTCCCCAAAATTCCATCAATGTCGCAATGTTCATATATCTGAAAATTTTGAAAAATATGCATTTGCAATCTAAAATGCATTAGTTTGATATGTCACCGTTGATAAGAATACTGTTTACGAATTTATTCATCAATCAAATTGAGGGTGTATTATCGATATTTAGATTAACTGTGTAGGAAATGTACTAACATAGATCGGCTTATCGAATATATGTGTAGCTGCTATTTGTGGTTATATTTATGACAAGCACAAAAATCAGTATAACTATCAACATAGAAATTAGACATATATCCGAGAGATGCCAACTCTAAAAAACAATTTATGACTGCAATCAGCAGGTATGAAATAATAAGGGAATTAAAACATATACATAGAGTTTGACAAAAATAACGATGTCCAGAAATCGTGTGAATCAGGGATGGTATCAAACCATGATTAAAAATCGAATTATCACCGAAGTAGAACAATCATTGTGAACCTGGAAACAAATATAATTCCACTTCTTGCAAAAGACTTTTCGGGTTAGTCAGCTGCGACGCATTCTGACTGACATATGACTAAATATATCTGAAAGTTGATGTACCCCAAATATATCTGAAAGTTGGTGTACCAAAGCATGGCGTTAGGGAGTGCAAAGGTAAGTTTTCGGAATGTTGTTACAAGTTATGTTTAGACGGGATTTATCGAAAATAGATTTTATGTTTACATACATAGAGTGGAGTTTGATATTAACAGTGCTTCTATTGATTATATGGTAAGCTAACGGTTGTATACTTGTTGGCATTGAAAACCATTGCATAATTCAGCACATATATTATAAATGCAAGGATATTACATTATGAAATAAGTCAACAATATCTTGGTCTATAATAACGGTAGACGTTTTAGTTTATGTATCTGTTTAACCTTCATAACTTCATTACTGTTATTGTTGGTGCGGATCCTTATAGTATTGTTAGATCGTATAGTTTCTTGATCATTCCACTATATTAGGACAAGCTGTTGAGAAAGCGTTCTTAGCTCCTGCTTGCACTACAGAAACTACATGTGGGAAGATTTCCAGTGGAATTTGTAACACATGTAGAATGTGCATGCATGTTAGACGTGTAACATACAAGTTTGTCCATGACTGTGATCTAACATTCCACAATAAGAGTACGTACGTCCTAAATGTAAAACAATAGTTATGAGGATTATGTACGTAACAAGATCGCAATTATATTGCATCTGCAATTTGTGCCTTCTTGTCTTGTTTATAGCAGTGAAAGATAAGACTTCTTCGGATACGATTGTTTAATTGTCTAAATATGACTAAACTATTGACTTGACTGTCGGTGTACATCAAAAACGTATTTTCTGAATTTTGTCCTACTTGAAAAGATGCGGCTTTGTTCGAGTAAGTACTTTCATTTTTCTTCCAATTACATTACTAGTTTAAAAATACTCTCGTTCAAAATTACAATGTGAATAACCCATTTTCAGTGTTACTTTATCACCAATGAAGCATACAAGGTTGGTCTTCTTAGTCATAGTGTAAGTCTTTTCACCACAAGACTCCACGAGAGCACTGTGCATGAGGGTAAAATCCTACGTTTCAGTGAAAATCACTTATTGAATCAACCTGTTTCATATTAAACGATGCACAAATATAGCTTCAAAAAGGCATTCTCTATGATTTCAAATAAAGTGGTGGAAAACGTATGACAGGAAGAAATTCAACTTATATATGTCTTGGAACGGAAAGTTCCCAGACAATGTTTGGTTATTCGGTCAGACCACCGAGAAAGTATGTTTTTCTTGATTCCGAAATGTTTTTACTGTATCCGAGACTTTTTCTGCCTATTCCCGTTATCGTCAAATGAAAAAAATGTTTTCTTTTTATCACTGTTTATCGTCTTATCAGCAGCAAAGATCATTTCCTGACAGCACCTATTGTATGCTGGGTGAATGCGTTTGTTCTGTATTGTGATGAATGTGTTTGTCTGTGGGAGGATAAGATAAATTCCTGCAAGCCTCGTTGAGAAGTCTCCTGATTCCGATTCTGTAGTACTATCACAACGAAGTACACAGTCGAAGGCTCATCAGGCCACTAATCTCAGGCGTATTACATAATACCACAATGTTGAACAATGTATAGTGAGTGGAAACTACCATCTCTAAGACTCACATATGTCTCAGCCTGGGAACCAAATCCGAAGCCTGGTTGACGAACGCTCAGCTAAATGCCAATGTTGTGACAGTATCGAGGGCAACATTAAGGAAAAGCATTTGTCTTTAAAAAAAAAAAAAATTGATCACTTGTTACTTATCATGATATTGGGACAGGATGTGCAATTTCCAGCACTCTATCTGAAAGGTATTATATAATCGATGGGTGTGATGCTCTGAGGCTCCTTTCGGTTACTTTTTTAGCGCGTGCATTATTATTTAGTCTTTGATAGGTCCCGTTGTGAAGAAGATTAAAACATTTATTGAGCATTGATCAATGATACGTTCAAACATACGTTAAATAACTTGAATATTGAAAAAATCATTTGAATGCACCATTAAAAAGCGTTTCAGTAAGTTTTCAACAGAGTGTTCTCGTATAATGCCATTGTTGCGTTCACATACATGTATATTATACATATAGTGTTTTTGTTCAGTTTCAATAGATATCACTTGTGAAATGTCGTGTAATATTATAAAGCACTTGGTATAATGCCTGTAAATCAGAAATGGTGTATGTAAGAATATTATGCTATCATTGTATCAATTAAGCACATGGATGGAATGACAGTATATTGTATATAATGTATTGACAAGAGGAAAAAACATTGGCATAATGTAGGTACATTGTACATACTAAAGTAATATTAGTACAACGTATGGAACAATGTATCCATTCAGTTTCTCGAACTTCTCATTTACCATCCAAATCTGCTACTAACTCCTAATTGTCCGGAACGTGCACTGACCTATATATTTACGAACATATACACGTCCACGTATCGCCATGCTCTGGCTACTGTTTATGTTACAAGCGATAGAATCAGTTTGTCTTAACGCACACTGACCCAGTTATAAGCCAAATATTAGCCTCAAAGTCACTCTCTGTGTGCAAGCGGCTATCAAGTGCGTTGTTTTGATGGTCAGATATCGTGGTTAACGCGCAATATAACTGCGGCTACAAGTGCAAGTTGTTCCAATCATCGAGACACAAGGTAAGATAGCCGTTTCAAAACTCATGTACTTATTGAATGATCAATTGTAAAAAAATCCAATTCTGTTGTAACTGGTGCATGTTCATGGGCAATGGTCAACGCGTAGAAGAGATCCGCTGATTCCTTTGTTGGTAGAAATTTTATTTTGTTTCATTTCCTTAGCTATACAGTTGTGAAACTTTTCATCATTTACCATTTGTTTCTCAGCGCCGAATTCTTTCATTCATCTGCGGTGTATTTAGGGTCAACTTTGTTATTTATCCTTGTACACTTTTGCCAGTATTAGGTAACCTCCGTCTGCTTTGGATTTTCACTGATATTGCTTGTTCTGTGATATTTTCTGTCTGCTGCTAAATGCTGATGAATTACTTGAAATCTGAGATCCTGGGATATTTAGAGATTGTGTGATATGTCTTATCCTGACAGGTTTATTGATATGGTATTGCATCATGGAATTATCAAGAAGGCGAATCCCACATTTTGATAACAGATGTTTTGATTAATAGTTTTCAAATACACACTTGACTGTGTAATACATCAAAGCCATGTAAAAATGATTTTCAAATATTTCATGCATTCTAATCAGATAAGTTATACAACATAAGTTAAATATTTAGAATAATGAATAAACAATTAATAAAGAAAGGGAATGATAAAGATTCACTCTCTGGGATCTCCTTCTAGATTCTGGTCAGTCATTTCCACTAGTTCTCTCCATTACTTCAGACAGGGAAATTTGTCATATGACGGCCGATAATTACTCTTATTCTCCGATTGACTGCCCACTCGTTTAATTAAATTACACTTTGCAATCTGACATTTGCTTGCAGAGCAAGTTAAAGGAATTTGTAATTACCTGCTAGGATCATTGTTGCCATCCCTTAGGATGAACTTGTGATTAAATTAAAGAAATCAAAACCAGATTAACGTACCTTGTACATCTCCTCTCATCACCATTTAGAAGTGAACTTTTCAAATGTTGTTGATCAACGTAGCTTGAGACATCCATAACCTCCATTAATGGTGGATCATTGTCATTGCTGCCTAACAAAAGGCTCTACACACGGTGATATGACAGCTATTCAGTATAGCACAGAAAAATATACAGCATCGTCATTAGACCTTGAATATGTTTTCATATGGAAATCACTTTTATTGCTTTTTATTCAATATAGTTATATTTTGATTGTATTATACATTTGAGAACTGACACGTATACTAAGTTACCTATGATCATCACTTTGGTAGACAATGTCAAACGTGGCTCAAATTAATAATTAACAGCATGTATTGATGTATCTCCATAACATCAAATGATCCTGTAAAATAAATTAAGTTACAATTAAGACATTTGAAGTTCAATTTTACCTTATAGCTAAGAAAATAAATAATAATTTGTCGAATTAAAATGTCAAATATAATCACAATACTTCCAAATGCTATGAACATTATACATGTAAAATATATCGATATGTATTATGTTCATGCCAAAATTATTACATTTGACGCATCGATATGATAATTATCTTATGTTTATGGTTATATACTTAAACAAATCTTGACTCTATATCGAAAGAAAAACGAAAGCGACGAACAAAAATCAAATCAAATCAAGAAAACCACTTCGATACAAATTTTAAACCCTTTTCGTTATAGCAAACAGCTTAATGATTTGTTAGGCATGACAACAAAACATTTCGAAAAAATACAATAATACAAATATGAATATATTTGTTGTATGATGTGGTACAGTTTTACTTAACACCGGTGTAGGTTGTGTAGGTTAGATGACATTTTGAATTCTATGCTGCTGTCATTTGTTTTTATAACATACTTGTACATTATATTTAAAGTATTGTAAAGGAAATATATCATTCTGAGATAAGTTGACATCTTGAAACACTTTAAGATGATATAATTATCAGTTGCCCGATTAACTACCGCAGTGATATTTCTTGACTTGAAGAAGTCCACGTCGGAACATCATATATCATTACATCGTTTTCAAAGAGGTAATGAGAGTTAACCCTGATTAACTGTGACAGGCGGGTGGGATAGTAGGGAGGATGAATGCCATCTAGGTCGTAAATTGGCTCACGTAACGTTCTCTTTATTATGTATACCTTACATGAACGAACTTAAATTCACATATATCCACGCTTTCGGTGGCAGTTGGGGCACGATTTCAAGATAAAGTGTATAATCATCATAGTGTACCCAGCTAAAGAAGTATTTGAAAGATATGACCCGATACCGTAACAGATATTGAGACCGGTCAAGAGGTATATCTGCCAATCTGCCACTTGTTATCAACCGTAACGCAGTACAAACGTATAACAGTGATTAAATACTATCCACTTAATGCAAAATAGCTGCTAATACTTTTTAGAATCCCTTGTCCCGAAGACGTTTCCGACGTCCGGCGTCATGAAGCTGGACGAAGTTCTGGAGAAGATCGGTCAGTTTGGACGCTACCAGAAGATCATATTTGTGTTGATATGTATTCCTGGTATAAGTTGTGGTATTGTGATGACGTCGGCGGTGATTTTACTGGGAGTACCGAACCACAGGTAAGTAACCATATCAGATTTATCACAATATAAATATAATGTCCAATAAAAGAAAGTCTGAACAACACTTATCAATTATACTACTTCAATGAAACCAAGCTAACAAATATTAGTTCCACAAGCGCTGATATAATTGATGTTTGGGAACATGCTTTGATATGTAAACAGTTATGTAACAAATCGTTTGATGGTAAAACATACAATTATTTGAAGCTTGGAAACTGACAGTTTTTATTTGCAATAAGATTAAGAACTTCAAACATTGATTACATTGATGTTAGTGTTTCAATAGTCTTATAAGTAGACAAACACACACGTGTAAACTAAATTTGGCACTAAACTTGTCTGCACATGCAAGAACTTGCCTGTCACACATTGTATTGAACTAGCAATGCAAAATAAATAATAAACATTTATAATTTTCTGATCGTCGTACATCATTAATGTGTAACAAACAAAGTTATATATTAAACCAGCATTTTTATTTTATTTGTTACAGCTTAATACTGTAAAAAACCTACTTATCAAGGACAACGATTAAACACTTATATGTTACATGTACTATTAATAAGAAATAGTTTACAGTTAGATATCGTGAACTGACTTTTGTACTTGGGTATATATAATATATCAGTTAAATAGATAATTTCAAAATTAAAATAAGGTAAAATTATTATGCTTGAAATATGTCTTTTCAAGTTTTCAAAACAGTTATTGTAAGAGAACACACTCGATTTGTTACGTCAGACGAAAAATCACCATAGGGAATGGGGGATGGGTTTCGATAAAATGTTTTCCATAAAAATAAAATTATTACATTTTTATTGAAATAAAACGTTAGCATGCCAATATCGGTTTTGTGAGTTTCTTATATAAATTATACAGATATGACCGTTTAATAATTGTAATATATCTATACACTAAAAATGTTATTCTTACCTTATGATAGAAATAAAAAAAAAGCATAAGACTCGGTCTCATACATTTTGTCTAATCTGCAAAATGTCTTGCAGAAAAAACCCAAATGCTCAGTTACCTTAATCATTTTTGATTATTTGCATTTCTGCATAAGCCGTCAATAATAAAATTATTGAGGGATTGACAACGCTATTATAACACAACATTACATATAGGAATATAATTTCGCTCGTATCATTTATGTAAATATCGGTAACAATAGCAAATACTTTCAAAGAATCATCAACACTTCATTATATAATTCTAACTTTTCTCATTTAGTACAACGGAAATCCTATTTTACATTCCATTCTATTCTTATCAGATGCAGTATTCCCGGATATGACAATGACACCTACTCCATTCAAGACCCAGTACACCAAGAGTACGTGGCTAGGTATATTCCACCTTCTACAGATGGAACATCTCTTTTATATGATAAGTGTCACGTATACAGCTTTAATGCCTCAAGTACAACGTTCGACAACTCCAGTCATCCAATCAATGCCACGCTTGTGAAGTGTACGTCATGGGTGTATGACGATAGCGAGTTCTTTGAAACGTTTGTATCAAAGGTAAGAAATTTTACACACTTATTATTATATTATTTAATTGAAGACGTTAGAACATTTCAAAAATATTATTGCATCTATTCCGGTTTGAAATAATTGGTTACCATCAGCGCAATTACAATGTCAGACGGAACAGCTATGTAAAAGGTATTCTAGATGTACCGTAGTCCCCATGGTCATTATAGTAACTCACAAGGTATTAAATGCCACTTCGGCCTTTTCAGATTTTGAAAAGAAAGAAAATCATATAAAGATAAAAAAAAATCACAACGTTCTTCATATCAGTACAAAATAATTATAGACATTACTATATGAAACGACTAAAGACTGGCTACATTTGTATATTTTTACAAGATATCACTGAATTAATGTATTCTGGTTAACATATTATTGCGTAAACATGTCACAATGGCGGTTTAATGTGATTTTAAAATTGGGAATTGTATTATTGTTTTAGCATGATCTTGTATGTGATAATCACTACAAAGTCTCCACAGCTAAGACCATTTTCTTCGGCGGTGTTTTGGTTGGCGCTCTAGTCTTCGGTTCCCTCTCGGACGGGTAAGACATATTTCTGATTTGGTAACATATGTAATGTGACCTCTACTATGTCTATGGCATTGTAATTGTTATGTGCGAGTGAAAACGCGATACATTGTTATTACGACATACATTCATATGCCGTGAAACCTGACCATAAACATACCATTTCAATTTCATCAGATCATAAGAGCGACACCTCTCGAATGTTGATTTTGATATATACAAAGTAAGCAAATAGTGCAGCTGCCAAATCATTTTTTTTAAGTTAAGCATTTACATTTTTGCATGAGAGAGAAAAAAAAAAAAAAAAAACAAATACGCCAGAATTAAAAACAGATGCATTTCATGATCCACTTACTTTAATACTTTATATTACAGCCTTGGCCGTAAAAAGACCATCAATGTGGCAATGGCGTTGCTGTTTTCATCGTCGTTAGGTCTGGCTTGGGCCCCCAACTATATTGCCTATGTAATCCTCAGGTTCCTGGCTGGTATGGCGTTCTCAGGGACATTCATCACGGCATATGTCATAGGTAATTAGAATGTGACATCATTTAGAGTGTCGGAACTAAATAAACCATAACCGTTCAGGCCAGAAAACATATGTAACGTATACTTCAGCAGGTGAACATTAAACACAGAACAAAATGTAAATAACCTGTCAAGTGCATTCACATTGACAGGTTTCAAGCTTGCAATGTTAACTCACACTTTTCGAATGTAAGGAGTATTGCTTTCCTGAAATAATAATAATAAAACAAAATTCTGGTAATCTTTTAAAGTGAAGGTTATTACCACCCCGGAAAGAAAGATCGGGGGTATATCGCTTTTGTGCTGTCTGTTTGTCTGTTGTTAACTTTAACTTTGCCGAGAATTGTTGCATCGTTAGAAATAGGGCTTTCATATTTGGCATGTATGTTCCTTGTGACAAGACCTTTCCTATCATACCAACATTTGTGACCCTGTAAACTTAACTGTGACCTTTGTGCTACATTTGAAAATATATAATCATAACTGAAATGAAGACATACGTGTGTAACAAAGTGTGCGTGCAATTGGCACATGTCTTACACAGCAGAGTTTTAAATTACAATTTCAGAAATGATTCATAGCGATAGATTTCTAATTTTGCCTGAATTCAGTTCATTCATTTAATCATAGTGCCTTCAGTATTAAGTAAGTATTCCAAAGGTATATCAGATCTTGTTAAAGCAGTTAAATCAAGTTAAAACTTTGTTAATGAGAGGTTACATATCATTTGTCATTCCATACTTAACAATATATACATATATGACCTTCACTTAACCTTGTCTCTACCTATCGTGATATTATCATTGTATCATTCACTGCTGGAACAATTACTCATAAAATCAGAATAAGTTATCGTCGTTAAAACATGGCATATGCGGAATTCGAGAGCAGGAGTTAAAAACCACTCAAGGCAACATTGATATGATAACAAGTTGATTCAAAGGCAAACAAATATGAGTACCGCCATCAATATTCAGTAATTTATCATCTAGTCAAGAGGAATTATCCATATAAGGATTACGTATCCTATATTTCTACTGCCATTTATCAGATGTCGTAAATGATTGATTTGTTGTAGACCTACAGAATGAATAGCTACTTTTTTACCTATACGAATGTGTTGTGTCCACACACCAGCGTTCAGTACTCTCTATGTGTATAAATACTTAATTGACTGATCGTTGTCATTCATGACCTCCTGTCCGGGGATTTTTTAGTCACTAAGGGATGATAAGACCCCTGAGGTTCCTAACCTGACCTGTTTTCCTGATCGGGAATTTTTTAGTTACTGGGGACGGTAAGTCCTTCAAGATTGTCTTACTAAAGCTGCTCTACTTGTATCTACTTCACCACACTTGATTTGATACGGCTATTTGTAACAACCTAAGACAGCACGTCTTTATATCGTGTGAAACACTCAAAAGAAAAGTGATATCGTATAGTTATTCTCACTGATGTTTATTAAAACGTCAACGCGACACAGATGGAACAAGTCACCATATATAAACAAAGATATCAGTGAATACCAACAATGGAAATGTGTTAAAACTGTGATAATACACCAGTCAGTCCATTATTGCATATAATTACGTATTTAATTCGTTTTCAATAATATATTAAACTTTAATATATTTTGCAGTAATCTGGGGACACAGATGATATGTCATAACTGTTCTGTTAACCAGTGAATCAGACTTTTCTATATTCTAACATTGTTAAGACTCATAGATGCTCAGAGGAACGATTGTGATCACCATACATGACGACACAAATGCTATAGATGTAGGACAGATTTACAGAACTCATTGAAATCAACAAACAATATCTTTTCAGGTGTGGAAATAGTAGGTCCTTCAAAGCGTAAATACACAGGCATAATCAACGAAATTTTCTTCGCTTTTGGAGAATGTTGTTTAGCGGGGATTGGATACTTAGTGAGAGATTGGCATTACGTGGAAATAATCATTGCAGCACCAATGATATTGTATCTGGTTTACTGGTGGTACGTATGTATTTGTATCTTCTAAACATACGATATAATAATTGTCATTACGACTAACTATACGCTACTTCCTGTTCAATCGTCTGATAAGCATGTGCGTGCAAACAACGTATTGATAAATCGTTGTTAAGATCCACAGAAAGACTTATTTAATGTACATCACATCAACGTAGTTATCTTACTCCTGTGGAGAAGCACCAACTGGAAAGGGTCTCATTTAGACTACCTGCTTTGATGTGAAGCGAAAGCTTTGTTGAAACACAGATTACAATGACAAACATTATATCCTTTAAAAGCTGAAACTATCTGATATCTGTATATGTCGCATGTAAGAAGTAAATTCTACATATGATTATCTAATTGATTATAGGATAATTCCTGAGTCGCCAAGATGGCTAATCAACAAGGGTAGATTTGATGAAGCTGAGGAAATACTAAGAAAAGCAGCAAAATTCAACAAGAAAGATTTGCCTGCAAAAATACTAGACAGGGATATCAATGAAGACAAAAAGACAGAGAAAATTTACAAAATATTTTCATCACGGGTCCTTCTTATCAGAACAATGATTATCTTATACAACTGGTACGTATAGAAATGCCTTCCCCTTATACCACCGGTACGTACTGAAATACCATTACCCACTTTTAGAAATGGTACGTACTGAAATACCTTCCCCTCTGATACAAGTTGTACTGAAGTAACTTACCCTCTTTTACAACTGATACACTAAAATAACTTACCCTCTATACATCAACAGGATTATAATTATTACTTACATTGTTGTTACATATTGGATACTTTTAAACATTTCTTTAGGACGAGATTCACTTCCTTAATTCGGTTTTCGAGTTCCACGAGTTCGTAGAAGTGAAGTTATATGCATGGAGCATTTTTATCAGACAGTTGTTTCAGTCCCTTGTTAATTCATTGAACAGTGTTATTACTACATTTTGAGCTTACGTCCAAGTCATGTACAGCAAATATAATACAAAAATGCCGTTGTTATTAGAAGCTACAACACCATTAAATATCTACAAGTAGAACCAAGGTGTATTGTATAACCAGTATGATATGTAATTAAAAGCTGTTATAAGAGCTATCAACTGAAACTGAAGACAACAAAAAGATTTTACTACCGCAGAATGGATGGCTTGGAAGGATGTACTTGAATTATGGGGAAACAAAAAATAGACACACACCTCAAATTTAAAATAACCGACTGATGAGCAAGGGATAAAAGAGAGATAACTCACAATACACTTATGTTTCATTCATCAGCCTCTTGGGTGTTTCGACTCTACGAGCGAAAGTCTGGTGGAATTAATCGTAAACCTTTATACAGATCGAAGGTTAACATAAATAGTTATAGATGTTAAATAACTAATCTGGACAAACGCCACACAGTTGCTAATATTTACTTATCTTCATTTCTATTAAAAAAACAGCTTGTCCTTTTGTAAGATGTTGTAATGTTAGGAAAAGATGTTCTAGCTATTTCACCGACTGAATGAAAAAAAGAAAAAAAAAAAAGAGTATTCGCTTTTGTCGACGCTCAGTAACAGTTATATATGATAGGTATGTCGTTGAAGTTATATCCCCACAGGTTGCTATTAAAGAATAAATGTCACCATATTGAGAGACAGGTGAACGGGGCTAAATATGTTTATGCATCCTATCGAGAAAATGTAAATGTCAACTTACTCTCTACATAAATTAATGGCAGTTATATCAATTGATGATATCATTTTCTCGTTGTTCTGACATAGATTCCATTAAAGATAATGGGTGTTAGGGTGTTTATTAAATGACCGACATGAAGTTTTCACTTTTATCATAAGTCTGAAATGTAATTATTTTGATGTCTATTACTGATACGGATCCCGTGTTGCAGGATGGTCGTTAGTATGACGTATTATGGATTGACCTTGAACTCAGGAAATCTCAGCGGGGACGTTTACCTCAACTTCTTTTTCTCTGGATGTGTAGAGTTCCCAGCCTACATAATCAGTATCATCTTCCTCGATCGGCTGGGCAGGAGGACACTTCATTGTATAATGATGCTTGCTGGGGGCTTAGCGTGTCTATCAACAATATTTACCGTGTTGTATGGCGGAGAAGGTATGCAGACTGTCTCTCCTTTTTTAACTAGACCTTTTGGATATTGCTATTGTTGTAGAGAGTAGAAAGAGGAGAGCACAGTAGATAATGTTGATCAATTTGTATATATTGTTATGACACTTTTTCAATCGCGTTTTCTCCTTTTAATGTAGATCTCCAGACTTTAACCACAATCCTATCTTTGGTTGGGAAACTAGGATCATCTGCAGGATTCGCCCTCATTTATATATTTTCTGCGGAGCTCTTTCCGACCGTTCTCAGGAATGCCGCCATTGGCATATTCTCGAGTGGTGCTAGGGTCGGTGGTATGATTGCTCCTGTCATTGCAGACTCGGTATGTCCTATCATTAGTACATTTTGGCAGACACCAATATGTGATTAACATTTCTCTGCATAATGATATGAAGATATACGAAAAGTGTATAAATAAAACATTCAAATTTAGCTATAGCATAATAATGCAATCAACATCCATTAGATAAACAATGACATCAATTACGGATAATCGTAAACAGTACATTGCTGTTTCAGTTATTCTCTATTTTCGTTTTTTGAACAGGTTACTATTATAGGCGGTAAGATGGGGCAGGCCGTCCCGTTGGTGATATTTGGAGCGGCATCTGTCCTCGCTGGTATTCTCACACTTTTCCTGCCTGAAACACTCAATACCCGACTGCCAGAAACAATAGAGGACGCGAGATTATTTGGCACGTAAGTTGAAATTAATATTTTCCATACAAACATGACTCTTAAAAGTTAAAAAGATTAAAGCTCGTGGGAGACCAATAGATTTAAATGGCCTTAAACAGAAAAGATTGAAGTCGGAACTAATGTGGCAAGAAGGACCAATTAAATTCAACAGCGTGATCATTTAAACTGTGTGAATATTATGAATATTATCGATAGATACACTCCGTCATCCCCAGCCTATGGTGTTAACATGGTGAAACAGTTGATTCGATATTAAAGGACCTGCTTCCATTATTGATTGAGAAATGTCTTATTTCTTTGCGTGACATGAAGCTGGACTTATTTCTTGCTCATGAGTTTGCCTGCTGGTTCCGTTGTTGTATACCTTGTTCTCATTTGAGAACGTGACAAGACATAAACTTAGTTAAATTTACCAAGATTTACATGGCAGGTATCGCAAATAAGGCAGAAGATGCTTACTTTTCTAGAACACCTGGTCTTATTCTCTTTGTACTTTGTCATGAGACTCATTGTAAAGTTTTCTTTTATTCATATTTAATACTGGTTTTATTGAATTTGAGTTTGGCTTAAGATTATGCTCCCTTGTTGGTATTTTCTTGTTTTCGATAAATACAACATGCCATCAGTTATTAATGAATGGATTTCAATTATATTTTATCTTAATGGTTTGAAATGAAACACAAGTGATGTCAATGGATACTGAAATACCTGTTTCTAAATCTAATGAAATATGAAATAATAAAGATATATTAATTCGGAAAAAAAAGAACTATTTCACAAATGGTTTCGGATATTCATTTTCTAGCTACGGAGACAATCATTAGGTAAATCGTATAAAATGTACATGTAGTTATATCAGTTTCGTTTATTTCTTTTGTCATTTAATGTATTTGAGTTATCTAATGCAAAATCCTTTTATTTTCCAGTGAGAAATACAAACAGAAAGACAAACATGATTACCAGGAAGAGGAGTCGACCACAAAATTTTAATAAGAATTTATAAGTTAAATTCATTTCCAATTAAGAACTATTCTTGAGAGCATTTCAAAGAATATTGCCATTATAGATTGTACAAAAGGCACACAAGTAAATAACACTTTTTGATACAAATGTAGAGTTAGATAAAGCAGAGCCAAACAATGAAATAAATTGCATCGTACAGCTGTTCCGTCCTTCTTGGACTCCTTAGTGATGCGAAGGGCCTAGTTTGAAGCCTAGAAGCAATTTAGGAAAATATCAAAAGAAAATTAAAACCTAGATGGGGCGGTCCATTGTCACCATCATTCAATAAAAATGATTATAAAAACATAGAATAAGGAAACTTAAGTATGTCTGAACAAAACTTTTCTTCGGTTAACTATAGATTGAAAATAACGTTTTGAAAGGGAGTTCATATCATCAGTAATTTTGTATAGGTAAATTATGCAATAATTGTGTGAGTGTGTGTTATTGGAAAGGCGATGCAGATTTAGAAGAGGAGGCAAACACATTGTTCACATTATTGGTTTTGTTCAAACAATCAATTTTGTTGTAAATATTAACTTTAATTTAGAATGACGCACATCTTTCGGGAGACCTATTCTGGACATTTATTTTCAATAACATACGTTAAAGAAATATTTTGGTCAAATCAATGTTAGCGGAATCTATCCATATTGGAGTTGAATACGGATTCACTCGCTGTTGCATTTTAGAACAATGTTATTTGTCTAATAATTATTGTTAACATTATCAAATATATGGAATTTATAGCGGCATTGCGAAAATAATATTTAGCTAACCTTTCACTATATATAGGTATGCGTCATTATCATTCAAACCTTAATTTCAATTTTTCAACACTAATACAAACCATTTCCATAAAGCCGTTTTTAAACTATACCATGTATTGATAAAGCGCAATAACAACCACGGGCAGATAATTTATGTATGAGAAATTGTAGGGAATGTCGAACTCAATAAGTGTCATGCAATATCGTTTCGTCGCCTTGTAAAGCGATATTGAAAAATAACACTAAGGACAATTTACAACAAAATATCAATTTTTGCAATATAACAGATTTACGGTCAGAGATTTCAGTACCAATTATTCCAGGAAACCAACTCTACAGTCCTGCTAAAATACTATATTTTACTTTCCACATTTTGCAACTAAATGATATTTCGGCATTTGAGTGATATATCAAGATACATAAATCAAGACGTGACCATAGATGATACACTATATTTTTACCTCAAGTTAAAAATTGACATATTCATCTAATATGCTGTGCCTTAAAGGTAAACGGGATCCACGTCCAGATGTCAACACTTTCAACATTAAAGGACATGATGTCTTTCCTGTTGGAATGGTATCTTTCTTCTTACAAACGTTATTTTTTTTATAAATTGTTTACCATTTTTTTTTCAAACGTGTTTTATTAAATTTGATATTTAAAACGCTGTTTAGGGAAGTGGTATCGTGTTTACAAAGGGTTTTATACAAACATAGTCAAATGTCCTATTTTCAAAACCTAAACCAATATAAAAAACAGAATACACATATTTTTATCGTATCTATGTAGGTAAGAAGCAAACACACAAGCAAGCATTGCTGATTTGTTGATATTTTACTGAAGGGCTGGTAATTAAGTCAAAATAATACCTCAAGTAGCAAAACCAGTTTTGCATTATCTTTAAATGACGCGGGCAGCTACAGGCCGTTGTTATTGAACTTTTTACACATCGTACAGATGTAATGTAATGAATTCCTACGATTTCTTATAGATTCATCGTTTGCTATTAATAAAATACATTGACATGTACGTAAGCACTTTTGTTTCTATTATCTTGTTCATTTATACGTTTATTTAAAAACTGCAATCCACCCAACTTGTGACAAGTCAAATATTGTACCAGACACACAAATGGATAACTCCTTTTGGTACAAATTTATCTATAGATGTACTAGAGACAAATAATCAAAATGCATCATATAGCTGTTTTGTCCTTCTAGTTCTTGTACATGGGTGACAATTAAATTCTCTAATATTGTAACTCAATAGATTATATTTCTTAAAAATTGCTCAATTAGGAAAACAATGCTTATGGACAAAGTTTCAGAGAAAAAATCGAGTAATCGTATGTAATGCTAACAACGAATATAGACTTCATTAAATATCTGGTGATTATGCATTAGTTTGTGTCAATAATTCATATCCTAATATATTAATACTCTTATATCTGTCAATCATCCTTGTTTCTGAGAACCGAGGAAATATCTTTATTGGCTTAATTCCCTTATTTTATATATGGGCCTCAATAAACCAACATGCTACATGTATACCTGACCAATAATTAATAGCATGATTGCAAAGTAATATTTTCTATTGGCGTTCAATGTTTCGAAGCGAAACACACATATACATATATTTACTTGATTTGTTTTTAGTCGTATCATTTTTCAACAATTGAAAAGAAGAAAATATAATATAGTCTTTTGACTTTCATAGTTTTCTAATCCATTAGTCGCCGTAAATACGAAGGGAGAAATAACGAAAATCTGATAATGGCGAAAAACTTTCTACTGTATCTTTCACAACTCTCCTTCTGCCTGTTAACGAGATGCATAACGATATCGATATAAATATTTATGCTATAATTAATGATGTACGTTATAACATTCCCGTTTACATATACTGTATGAACATGAAATGCCTTTAAAATACACAATGTTAAAAATAGTTAAATCAGCCTTGTTTCACTTACCTCAAATATATAAATGAACAAAGTCAGCGTGATATTAATTAGTTTGGCTTATTGAATGTTTAACAATAATGTGCTCTCTGAGTATCTGACGACCTGGACGGAGGCATGTTTAAATCCTACCACTTATATTTAGGGTGTGACAGTGCATTTAAAGTTTATACAGGTGTGATCGTATACTTTTAATGTATATACCTTTTAGAAGCATGCGACTAAACACATTTGAAAATAAAATCAAATGAAAAAAAATAAATAATAAAAAATAAATAAATAAATAAATGGAAGAAATTTCTATGCATTATTGGAAATTTCGGATTTTAACATTTTTTTACTATTTTACTTGCCTTATTTTGGGTCTAATGACGATATTTTTATTCACTATTTCACACAAGTTGTAAGAATCATGACATCATATTGGTAAAATACCATGAAAATGAAAAAAAAACGTCAAATGCCAAGATAACAATCGATAGCTACAATAAAAATGTACAAATGTAGTTATCGCTGTTATGTAAACATATAGTGAAGACATTGTATTTCTGTATTGTACATCCCATGTTAACAACGTTAATTAGCTATCAATAATCCAATTTTTTTTCCGAACAAACTGATCGGAAGGAATTTCATAAGCCAAGCTGATTGCTATCATGTTTACCTGTCTCCGTTAATATAAACGTTTCAATACCGTATGTATTTGCATTGTAACACATCTAAAACTATCAAAACTTTGATATGGCCATAGAAAATGTTCAAAAACTGAAATCACTAGACTCATGCGTTTCACATTGCGGTGGAATTGGACCAGAATGAAAGTAAAATGCACTTTAAGTAGTTCAGAATTGCTTTGTAATGATTTGACTTTAAATGAATTTATATAATCTGTTGGTGAATAAAGCCGTTAATTGCTTGTAATGATTTATAACAAGTTGTTACATTTCTAAATATTTCTTAACAGGTCAGTTTTTCATATAACGTATGGGCGTTTTTGTCGTAGAAACGGGTCACACAAACTCGCGCTTGTAGTACTTAGCGTTTTTTCTAGTGCATTTGATTATGATTATGCTGAATAAGGGTTGTCGAAAAATCAAACTTATACAAGAATAATTTTATTCGAAATGACAAAATACAGTAAATCATGACAAGGCAGTTGCACGTTAGAGTCGTGATAAACTGCAGTTTTGTTATTAGGTTAAAGAATGTCACATATACGTTCATGTTAAAAAATATTACATGCTGATTTTTTTTATGTTACGCAATATTTATGTGTTTGATGCAAGAGATTCCAAGAGACGGAAATTTAACTCTTGTAAACACTCCAATTGAATACTTAACGGGTCACTTATTCCTATGTTATATATATTAAAAAGAAGAGATAGGTAATGTGTGACATTAAAAAAACCTTTTTGTTGACATGTTGGTGTTTTCATGGTTGGTTTAGCTATAAACTTGAATGTAAATGAATATATTATAGTTCTATCGAATTCTAAATTTGTATTTGACGGTGTTAAAGATTTCAGGTGGTAGACGCCTCTGGTGGAATTCTAATCCCCGAAGTTCGCCGTACAATACATATCATATATCTAATTCGTTCGAATAGTTACACGGTTCAGAATATAACATGTTTTTCGATTTTTCATTTAAAATAAGCAAATATGTATTGAATTGTGGGGCTAGTGCACCACTCCATCCCATCATGACTTTTTCGTTCGATCAGTTTTGGTTTCCTTCAATCCTCGTCAAAATGTAGGCCCGCAATCTCGTGGAAGGACTAAAGAGCTGTGAAAAGCAGTTTAATTCATTATTTCGCTATACGAATTCTGAATTTTTATTGAAAAGTGCTTTTCAGTTTTGTGTGTTGTAAGTCTTTAGAATACTTCTTACGTCAGTAGTTTTCAGAACCAAAGCACATTTCAGTTTAACTGTTTGATCAATACATATTAGCATCTTGCGATGATTATGTATTTCACGTTTGTAAGTAGTGATCTCTCGAGGAAACATTTTATTCTTATTCAATGTAATTTAAAGCAAACAGACTTCTGATATTCCAGATGTTGTTATCGAACATATAAACATATACACATACATCATTTATATATGGTAGTCTGACTGAAAGATGCTAATACTAATGCAATGACACAGACTACCCCAACCATTGAAATAATCTGTTATCGGCAGTAAACAACGCAAGAGAGGAAATGATAGTATTGGGAAAATATAAACCACAGTGATATCGATTGTTTAAAAAATAAACTGAAGCCATAGAGTAAGAACTTAATTTGTTTTTGAGTTATTCCTTGAACACAGACATCCTGAATCAGTTTGTTGTATTAGCGTCATCCGTCGAAATATTATTCGTAAATTGTGACATTTGGAACAACGTTTTGATTGTCAAATATAAGACATTAAGAGGATATGAAATTTGCAGACAACCAAAAGCTGGAATTCCCATAAATTCAATAAATGCATTATGATATGGTATATTGTTAAATATTCTTTTAATATCATACGTTATTAAATCGTTGTTATATAGGTCAAAGCCGCTACTCTCTCCTCATGAATCTGTCAAGTAGCCAATAAACTAGTTAATTAGAACAACGATATGTGTTTTCAAATGTCGTTAAGTCATTGATATAATACCGCCCCATCTGTTCAAAGGTTTGAATGCTACTTATTCATTTGCAACAGAGGTCATTATCTCAATGTTTCAATGTCTCAGATTCGAACTCGGGACTTCAGGATTACTTTTCTGACGTTCTACCGATATAGTGCGACTAGTACATATATTTACCAGGGCTGTATACCCCCGTCTCTCATCTGTTAACTGTGAACCCATCAAAATGTATTGTTGCTACTGTATTAATATTTTACTCAGGTTGACAGTTTGTCGTCTCTTTGAATAAAAAAGAATTTAAATTTTAACATGTCTCACGCTATCCTGTATTGTTAAATGATTTTTTAAACAGGAAAAGTGTATACACACAGGGCAATAATGTTGACATATCATTTCGTTATTTGCCCTTTCGTTTTGAACAGCTATACCCTTGTTTCATGCATATATTAACCCTGGCCTACGATCTGACCTCCCGTGCCTGCGCATATAAAAAACTGTATGAATTATTATAATATCTAATATTGGTCACCAATCTCTGACTTCTCTTCGGTGGCTTTTTTAATAATGAAGAAATTCGAAGAAGTTCTGTGCATTATTGGAGAATTTGGACTTTATCAAAAATGTATTTTTCTTCTGTTGTGCCTGCCATTTGCAATTTCTGCATTCCATATGGTAATGAGCGTTTTTGTACTTGGAACTCCTAATCATAGGTAAGAAACTGTTATGTTGCTGATACATTTTAAATAATAAAACTACTGTTTTAAGTTCTTATAAATATTTTTTTAATAAAATAAGTTCAAAGCAAGAATAAATATATGAAATGTGCACATAATACTGACGAAATTCTGTGTCAACTTTAATAAGTCAAAATTTCGAATTAAGGGATCTTAAACTGAACTATTTCATGATATTCCTAAAGCTGATTCCACTTACAAACATGAATGGCTAACTTCATTGTAATTCCGTATCCCATTCGATTTATTAAGTACTCCGCTTGTGACCGAACAGAAGGACAAAACAACTTTACAACATAGATCGATTTACTGTACAAACAATTATTAACACAGCGTGATGGCAATTACAATCATGGATAATATCACAAAAAGAAAATGCAGAATAAAAAAAAAATTATCACAATAATTTTTTTAATTCTGTAATATATTTGTATCAAGACGTTCTCAGAACAGCAGCCATATATACATTATCAACGATGTGGAGTTCTTTACATCTAGCTAGAGCCAGACTGTGTGAGAAGATACTGGAAGCATAACTGGCAAGGTCTCTGTGGACAAACGGCAATCGAAAACATAAACGACTAAATAAACAGTGGAAATTGAATGACTGCATAACCACAACATGGTTTGTGGCTTACTAATGTATACTAATTAGAAATAGACGTAAAGAATGATGAATCGTCACTTTAATTTTGTTCAATATAAATGTAAATCA